GGTCATGGGAATGACTTGATGATTTCAAAGAAGGACAGGTCATGGGAATGACTTGATTATTTCAAAGAAGGACAGGTCATGAGAATGACTTGATGATTTCAAAAGTGATAGACCAACATAAATATACTTCCCGCCCTTGATGACTTCCTCACAAGGCCGGTAAGTGGAGGACTTCTTGATGGGTATATCCTTATACCCGACCCGGACAACCGAAAGGGACAGGTCAAAGTATGACCGGTCACTTTTATCAATCACCAAATGAGGTTAACTCTTTGATTTGGACGGGTCAAAAGTTGACCGGTCACTTCCACTAAAAAAGTGACCGGTCACATTTTGGGCGATAGCGAAAATATCACCTTATTCTACGAAGGACATTCTAGAAGACCAAAGAGATGGGTTGAGCGCAAGAAATGACCGGGTAACCTTTCAGAGAAGGTGACCGGTCATATCACTTTACTTGGCTAACATTGGTCCAGTCTCTTAGGCATGGTGAACCACGTCAGAGGTCAAGGGGACACCCCGCCGCTCATCCATCACGAGGCACACAGTGAAAGGGATGTTTGTCATTTTGCAGGGTTGATTCGATTGAGAATATCCATTTTAGTCTTTGATTGAACAGTACATGTCTTGGCTTGTAGTTGCTAAATTCATTGATTGAATAGTAGATTGATTATGTACAGTGACCTTCCCACGGGCTTCCTATTTTGTCCATGGATGAACAGGGGAAGGTCACAAATCTTCCTCTATAAATATGATGATATTGGATAGATGAGGGGATCCATTCTTTCTCTCACTAAAAACTAGTACACTCTTGAGACAGAGTAAGAAATATAATTCGGACTGAGGAGATTTACCCGGTCTAGGTCATACTTTGTGTTCTTGTTGTGTGTTTTATATTACGGGTCAAGTGTCCAGGTTAAACCCGGTTAACCCGCCCGGCTATATTTACACCATCAGTAACACTGATATTTATTTTGAGACAGATAAAATATTTCTTCAAATTGCTTGATTTGATTTTTAACATATTCCATCCCAATCATAACAAACAACCCCTTATATATAAACTAAAAAAACAAGGGATATACTTGTAATTGTATTTTGGCCATAAAGACATGAACCACATGTTCAGAAGAAGAAATTTGAATTAGAGATTCAAGAGGACGGAGCTCCAGCGGTGGTCAATAGCAGAGCAGTCGCCGGCGGGAAGAGAGCGACGGCGCCCCTATCAGGGGCGGAGAACTTCCTGTACGCCGCCTTCAACTTATTCTTCGCAACTCCAGAGTGGAGCCCCGCCAGCTTCCTGGCACAAGCTGCAACCTCCTCCTCCGAATAGCCGGTGTGGTGCCGGAGCGTCGCAGCCCACCGGCGAACCTCGACGACTTTCACCGTCCACCCCGCGGCATAAACGGCGGCCGCCGCCAGCATCGACGGCCTGAAATCAACCACCGTCGCGTAATCCATCAACCCTAGCTCCGACAGGAAAAAGCTCATGTTCTCCAGCTCCTCCTTCCCCTCCTCCTCCTCCGCCGCCGCCGCCACCGCAACCGCCGCCTTGATATACCTCGCGAGGAAAACGTACGGCGTCGGGACGGTCAAGTACCACTCGAGAAACCCTAGGATCGTCTTCTCCATGGCGAGGATCTGGTCCCGGCCGTACGCCTGATCCGAGATCTCGATGAAATCGGCCACCTCCGGCGCCCAGATCTCCTCGTATTTGCAGGCGATCAACATGGATCCGATTCCGACGAGCTGGAGCTCCCTCCGGGGAACAGTTCTGACGGCGAGGAACCGATCGATGAGATTCACCGTCAAATACAGAGTCTCCGGCGTCAATTGGAACTTCTTGTGAACATCAATCAGCCAATCCACAAGAATTGATCTCATCTTTGAATTGATCTCCGGTTGGCTTCTCATATAATCCCTCACTCTCCATTCATCCTTCACAATAAATTCAAAAAAGTAAAAACAAAAATACTGCTGAGTTTCAAGCAATTATTTAGCAAGAGGTTAGAGAGAAAAACCTCATTTAGCTTGTAGAATTTGTAGATGTCTTCAACATATTCAACGGCAGCCAATTCATTGTCAACGTCGCCTTCATCAATCTCAAATACTTGATTTTTCCTCTCATTCTTCTTCTTGTTCGGCCTCTTCTTGGCGGCGGCGCCGGCCGCCGGCGCCGCCCTGCTTCTAGCCGCGAGAACGGAGGTGTACCCCATTCTTCCGGCGTTGTTCTTCGTCGTCTTCTTCTTCTCGTCGCTGCTTATAACGATGACTGATCTTTCCTGCGGTGGTAGCGGGGACAGGGGAGGTTTCTTTGCCGCCGCCACCACCACCGCCGGAATTAATGGCTTCTTGGCCGGACGAGGGATCTGGTTCTGTTGGGCGTTGTTGCCCAGATTCCCGATATCCCGAAGAATGCGCCTGGTTCTTCCCTCTCCTCCTCCTCCTCCTCCTGCATTCTTCTGCTTCATTTCTTCTGACAAGATTCAAACTTTTTCCAATTAAATCTCAGAAAACGCCATGATTTCAACTGAAGATTTTTTTTTTTTGAAGAAATACAACTTAGCCCAGAATTTATACCCAGAAACGCTGAACATAAGAAGATTTTTTTAAAGAGAATTTTGTAACAGAGCAAATAATTTCGTGGGTAGCCCTAGAATTTCATAATTCTGATACTAATAATAAAATCAGAGAATTTAATTTCTCAGGTTAAATCTCCAGAAATTTCAACCAGAAAAGGATCTGTAAAAGAAATTCCAAAAATTACGATTGAAATTGTACAAGAAAATTAAGAAAAGAAACATGGTGTTCTTCTTCATTAAGTGAATTCCGAAAATTCAAAAGAAAAAAAAGAACAAAGATTGAAATTTACCTCTTATGGGTTGATCACGAAGAACAGGTTTAGATTCCTCCATCTTCAGTTCTTCTTCTTCTTCTTCTTCGGGATTACTGCGACCGAAGATCCAAGACAGAAAGGACCGGAGACGGCTATGGTGAGCGTCTCCTTCCGGGTAATTCTCAGTCGCCACGCTTCTTTCTATTATGTACTCAATCAATCTTCTTCTTCAATATTAACATCAAAGATCTCAAATTTTTCTTCCTTTGTATTTTCACAGAGAGAATTCGGGGGTTTTCTTGCTTTCCATATATCTGGGGTCTCTTCTTTAACGGTCGAATTTTCACTCCCCGTTTGGATTGGTTTTGAATTTTTTTTGTTTTTTTTGTTTTACTGTTTTTTTATTTTTTACTATTTAGCAGTTAGAGGCTCCTCATTCCTCTCAATCTGTAAATCATAATGTTACCGTTTTAATCTGGTGCAGTAAATATTTTTTTTATTGGAGAATCGGGTTTGGAAGGTAAACTTGCTCCCAATTACTCTATGCAATTTTAGCTTGAGTAATAACTAGTGAAATTTGCACTAAATAGGACTAAAACATAATGACTTTCCTAATGTAGGATTTAAATTTTTTTATTCCCTAAATAGGACTAAATAATGACCTCGTGGGAGGAATAATGTCCAGTAATGCTAGACATTTACTTGAATAATGACTACTTGTTAATGACCAAAAGTCCTACATTAGGAAATAAAAACAAATGATCCTATATTGAGAAAGTCATTATGTTTTAGTTCTATTTAGGTAAATTTCTCAATAAACTAATAATGGAGTAATTAAAAGAAAATAAAAGATTATAAACTTGAATTCATTACAAATTTTAGATTTTAATTCTAATATTTAAAATCTCATAATTTCAAATTCAAAATGTAATTTGAGAAGTCAAAAAATTTTAGTTTTAGAATTTGAATTTTAAAATTGGGAAAACGATAACTGAAGCAGATTAATATGTATGAAATAAATTTTGCATAAGGGGAGATTACTCTTTAATTTTAAGTTATAAATTAAAGAAAAATTAGGCTTAAATTTATAAATGATATGGATAGGGTGTGGATTCGTAATTGGGTTAATTTTAAATTAGAAGGTTTTGGTCAATGTTCAAATCCAAATTTCTTGAGTTCCCAAAAAAGTAATTTGGATCAAATCTAGAATTAAAATCCAAATTCAAGTTCTCAAACACATCAATAAAAAATTAAAAGAGAACTGAATATTTACTTGTTTTTAATTCTACTGTCTTCAATTATTATCTTTCTTTCTTTTCACTCATTTTCCTAAAATAAAAATAACTTTTCAAAAACTCATTAATCCAAATTTAGTGTTTACAATATTTTTTCCAAGATTTCAATTGATCTTAAAAATTACAGACAATTTTTAGATATATGATTTTTTTAGTAAAATGATATAGTCATGTCAATTATATATTCAATATATATACTCCGTAATATATACTACATTAAAAGATTGTCAATTATATAAGGGAAGCCACCAGAGAAGTGTTGGGTATGAGTTGTGGTTCGGGGAGTAGGCATATAGGTGATTAGTGATGAAGTAATATGGTGCAAAGGAAGGTGGAAGCGAAGAAGATAGAGTGGCATTGCAAGCAGAATATAAGACGGCTCCGATTCTAAACTTCTTTCATGTTTAATTTTGATTTTTTTTGTCAAATAATAACCCTCTTTGACCATAAATTAAGCATAATTTAAATAAATAAATGGTGTAAAAATTTGATATATCAAAACTATATTCTAATATGAATCCAATTGTATTAAATTTATATCATAATTAAATATACTTTTCTCATAATTTAGTAGAGTGTCACTTTTTAACAAAAGAAAAATTAAAACATGGAAGACTTAAGACCGAAGGGAGTATAAATTTACCGAGCAATATCAAACTAAGGCAAGATGTAATTTAATTTACAAACTCATGAATTGAACTCAAAATAATTAATTAAATAAATAAACCAAATTTGAATCGATTGAATCTCATTTTAACTGAAAAGTACCACTCCAAAAAATGTACGTAGCAACATTACTGGATTCAAAGACCTCAATTTTCACACCACTTTTCATCTCACCCATCTTATACATATTCAAAGACACAAAACAATACTCCCTCCGTCCCCCTAAGATGTTCTCATTCTGACTTTTTGTGGTTTTTAAGAAGAGTTGAAAAAGGTGAAAGTTTACCGTAATACCCTTAATGAAAATGGGTAGAGTGTATTAAATGAGGTGAGTGAGGTGTAATAAATAAAGTAAGTGGGGGTAGTTGTAGTATTTTAATTATTAAAAAATGGAATTAGAAGATCTATTGTGGATAAAGAAAAAGGGCTATTGGAAAAATCTATGGGGGACAGAGGGAGTATAAAATATCTCTATATGTCTGCTAGACGGTGAGACTAAAAATGGTCAGAATTGGGGTACATTTAGCATTGTGCTTAAAGCTAACATTCACTAGAGTGAGGTAACACTATGTCTGGTCAAGAAATTCGGAAGAAACAGAAAAAAATGATTTTATCTTATTTTCTAACCAAAATGGGATAATTTTATTTTTTCTCTTAGTACATTTTATATTCTCATTTTCTTTTTTCCCACTTTTCTTTTCTTTTTTCCTTTCTAACCAAACAAAAAATATTTTCCATCATATTTTATTTTCTTTTTCCTTTCAAATTTCTTGAATCAGAAATATATTAAAGGATAAAAATCCACAGTAGATTGATACCTACTTAGATTTCTATTGGTCACAAAAGTTGTACTCCCTCCAACCCAATTTGTATGACGTGTTTCAATTTACTATGTTTGACTAAAATTATCTTCAAGTCATTTTATATGAATAATGTTATAAAATTAAAAAATAAAATTTACATATTAAAATAGTCATGTCACATGACTATTTTATTTTATCAAATAACTACCGAAAAAAAGAAAGTAAATAAAATTCAACAATGTGAATAGTAAAGAAACAATTTAATTTGAAACAAAGGGAGTACAACTTTAGATCCAAACAAAAAAATTAGACCAAACCAGACCATTCAGTCCAGATTGAACCAAACCGACTAGAGTGGCTTAAACGATGTACTTTTCGTTCCACTATTTTTGGGACAAGAGGGACTTAAAAAAGTTAAGAAAAGTATGAATGTACAACAAGTTGATAACGATGTTCAAAATTAAGATAAAGTCAAAACAAATGTAAACCACCCAAACATGACACATGACAAAACTGGGACGAAGAAAAATAGTGGGACAAATCAAGTGCATAGGGGAATCATAACATGGGTAGTGAAGAATTTATTACACTGGTAAATAAAACAACAAGAGAAAATCAAATGCTTCAGCATAAAGTGCAGCAAACGTACCAAAAATCCGACTCTCGAGCGTGTAAAAATGGCCCAAGAACCCAAACACACGACAGAACTATTGGCGTTTCGGCATAGGAAGCAAGCAGTCGTATACGCGCTCCATTCGCGAAGTAATCTTCAGTTTATGCGTCGTTGGAATGTTTGGATTTGCCAAATTGAGAATGTCCTGTCTCAAACTGGGAAGACATCAAAATGTGTGTCACATGTTAGTGAATTCACATAAATTCCACTCTCATTAATGTGTTTTTTGTCTCTCCAAATGTAGCGTTTTCAGTTTTTGTTTCAAGTCACTGTTCTCATTTGATAACACCTTCAGCATTTAGCTTTAGCATTCTGAAAGACTATTTTATGACAACATTTAGCTTAAGCATTTCAAAAAGACTATCTTATGGCAGTGCTTAGCTTAAGTATTTCAAAGTTAATCTGCACCATGAAAAAACTCTCCAAAACACTAACACTTATTGAAAATGTTGTTCCCAAACAAGACCACTATTTTTTTTTGTTATTCACTCATGTAATTTACGACATTTTCTTCGAAGCCAATTTGTCAACCTTCATTGACAACAAAAGACTGATGTATCTAGTACTCTAATTTTGCCTTTCCTCATCATTAAAAATGTTTGCTACTCCCTCCGTCCCGTGAAACATGGGACTTTTGCTTTTTAAGAATGATTTAAGGGTAGTGTATTTTGGTATTAAATTTCCAAAAATGTCCTTTGATGTGATGGGTAAAAGTATGATTTGATGGATAGATTATTAGTAAAAAGGTATGATGTGATAGGTAGGATATGAAAAAGTAAAGGGTAAAAGTTACTTTTTAATAGAAATGAGAAGTGTTTTGTGGGACGGATGAAAAAAGAAAGGAGAAAGGTTTTATGGGACGGAGGGAGTACTTTATTTTATTCTGAGAGAGCAAAAGAGACTAAATTCTAAGAATGGTGAGATTTGCTTATACCTACAAGGCTATAGCTTCAGATGACTTACAAGTTAGGCCGGATCAGTATATTTTTATAACAAAGGTTGTCTCTTGGAAACGGCCTCTACTTACGAGTAGGGTAAGATCTGCGTACACACCCCCTCCCTAGACCAAAAGACCCTACTTTTTGTAGGATTGTACTGGGTTTGTTGTTAAACGACATAAACTACATGCGTGAATAACTAAGAACACTATATTTGCAGGGATAAACACTATCTTTAAACAAACTAGAATTGAATTGAAGCAAAAACAATAGGAGCGTGAACGAACCAACCTTATCCATTCACCAGTTGCCCTTGCGTGCCCTTCTGCTGCACCGTGCAAACGGTCCAGATAATAAAGAACCAAGCCGAATATACATTTAGCATCCTCTTCCTTGTCTGAAAAGCTTGGTCTTTCCTCCTTTGTAAAGTTATGACATACACTTAGAGATTTAAGATAATGGGAGAACAAGGATTTCTATAATTAAAAAACCCCAATGTGAAAGTTCTTCCACAGTTCCACTATACAGAAGATATGTTAGGATTACAAGAATATATACACTCCCTCCGTCCCAAAATAAGGCTCCTCTTTACTCTTCACACAGTCAAACTAAATGCTTTTTTTCTTTTACATTGATTGTTTAATAAAATAAAATAGTCATAAAACCACTTGTTTCGTGGAACTATTGATGTAGTTTTTAAATATATAACTTTTATTTTTAAATTCTACACCAATTTAGGCAATTTTCAATTATGTTGATTTGAAAATAATTTCAGTCAAACATCGTAAACCAAAATAGGAGCCTTATTTTGGGATAGAGGGAGTATATTTTTACAAAAATATCAAACACTTCGATGCTTTACTCAAGTTGAAAGATTTTGACTTCTCAAGCCATCTCATTTCTCTCTCAAAGAAACTCTCTAACCGGGTACTCCGTACATAACTGAGAATGTACTTTGTGAGACAATACTCATTTTATAGGATGAAGGGAGTATGTAACACTCTTACTCGTTCTTGATGATTGCAGCGTTCTAATTGCATAATTCTTCTTTCAACTTCTACAATAAGGAGCCTTCTTTGAATTTGAGCAACTCTTCCCCTTCCTTCAGCTCTAGTATCCTATATCAAAATAATAATATCATACTATTTGTATTATGAATATATGGGGCAGATTTATCCATGCAATTTTCAGTTTGTAATTTGCATTTTTTCTCTCTTCAAGTTCACATTTTTCCGATCCAGTCCATGATGAAAAGATTGCGCTTTTTATTTTATGCAGATACACAAAAGAAAAGAGGAACATAATTCAAAACAAATACTACCTCCATAGTAGTTTAACTTTCCCCGAGTTTAAGAAATGTGTTTAAAAGTATAAGGTTGGAATTCATTTATAGATGAGGGATAGATTCTTTGAGCCACATGGTCACTTCTTTAAAAGAAAATAAAGTAGGAAGTTATTTTGGGACATCCAAAAAGGGAAAGTAAGAAGTAGAGTATTAACAGTATATAATTGGAAAAGAACTAAATTACATTATCTGCTCAAGTTATTAGCTTTAGATATTTATTCGGAAGATTTAATTTGTTTCCAGCAAAATAAGTTGTGAAAAATAAGTACTTCTATATACAAGTAATGATATAAAACTGTTTGAAACACATGTCATAATGGAAAAGCATTTTCCATAAAATTCTAAAGACCAAATCCAAACAAAAGAAATTCTTCTCAATGTTCGGAAAACAACATTTTCCCTTTGGAGTAAGAGAAGTGGGGCATAAATTATACTCCGTAATACAAAAAGAATAAAGAGCCACTCTTACCCGTTTAAACCATGTCCTAGCCAAGACCATAACAAAAACTGAGAGGAAAAAGGCAGGTAAAGCAGCTAGGATAGCAAAGTTGATTTCATTTGCTCTAAGAATTTGATCCAGCTCTAGCATTGCCCTGATTAGAAATTTTCTATCAGGAAAAAATGTAAAGAAAAACAATTGATGTCCCAGAATTTCTGGGTAACTGGTAGTTTTTTACTCACTCTTCAATGTCAAGCTTTAACTTCTGGACCTGAAATCATAAAACAATGTTATGTACCAAAAATATAAAAACAGAAAATAATATATCCTCTAGAAAACTAGAATGCTAATTCTGCTATTATCATGTGAAGGAGTTAAAGGACCTAATCGTTACCTGAATAAGTAAAGCTCGAGCAAGCTCCCCAGAGAGTAGATTTTGGATTGGATGCATCACTTCTTTTTCATATCTACACTAAACATAAGAATCACTTCAGTGTGTATTTGCAGCACCACAACAAGAATGTAAGCTCACATCTTGCATAATCAGTTCAGATAAATAACTGGCCGAAATTTTGGCACATAAATATTTACAGTTAAATTTTTAGATATTATATATGCAAAAGAATATCTTTCATAACCTACCGACGAGCCACATTGACTCAAATGGTCTACCTCAATATTTCAAACACAAGGTATATGAAGGCTAGGTAAAGCAAGAAAGAAATCTGTTCCTGTCCTTGGGATATTATATTCCGTAAAAGATTTAAAGCATGAAAGCATTTTTTATGTCTACCATAGTTTTTAGTTTCCAATCCTCTCTAGACTCTGGAGTTGCAGAAAATTTCAAATCCTCAACACACCCCCACCCACCGACATGCTTATATATTTATTGATATCTTATTTTTCTGTTTACCATATTTCCTTGCTCCTAATCCTCTCTAGAATTGCAGAAATGTTCACCAAAAGCCTCTTTTTCCTATCTGAAACTGTATGGTGTAAAAAAAACTACTAATAAGGCAAACATTAGCGAAAAAGAGTGGACCACACCTTGCCATTACTACTTCTAGCATTTCATTGTCTGTGGCATCCTCTGGAAGCTTCACACCTTTTGTTTGCTCAGTGAAAGCTCGCAACATTCTGCAAACCATTTCATCATAATTATATACAAATAATGTTCAGATAAAGAAATAAATACTTACACCAGTACTAGACTACACTTGTATGTCAAAAAATTATTTGCGGATGCCACATAGGAAATAATACACTAGATAGTAAGAAGCAGCAAGACAAGCACTAGTGTTGGAATTTGGCATGAAAGGGTGACGAAATGATAGGAATTTAAAAATAGGAAAGGGGGGAGGCACATGTTCAATTTTTTTCACACAACCAGACTAAAAATAGTAAAAAGGTACCAATTTTCAATTAACACTTCAGAGCATAGGGAAGTACTTCACAAACCTGTGTAGAGAGTTGGCAGTTATCTGTACTTCTTCAAGTTCCATTGCACCTTTCTGCCTCTTCCTGAATGTATGGAAAAGTTCATCTCTTATTGCGAGAATCTGATGGACAATCAAAAGTCAACTGCATTTAGCATAGATACATGTGCAGATAAGAAAAGAACTATGAGCTGTGTCATATGCACCAATCACAAACACAAGTATTCCACCACATCCCAGAGTGTGTAACATATAAAATATATACAGGTTTACCATCAAACATAAGAAGAAACACGAAAACTGAAATATAAAATCATTCTACACAAACAAATATTTAAGCAACATGTGATATTATAACCAGAAGATAAACTCAACTTCTAAATGGTAGCAATGGTGCACTTATGAAACCTGTAGGAATCATCCGATTTTGTGCATTTCTACATACACAGCGAAGAATGGTATTTGCAAGAATGATCCCAAGCCTAATCATGTCTTTGCTTTTTAGGAGGTAATGACTCCAGTGATTAGCTCAGACAGTTAAACATATACTATGTGTCTATGTATAACTTTATTAACATACTTCAATCTTTAATAATGATGGGTTACAGGACTATTTAAATAAACTTGCTGACATCGCACCTACTCAACTTAGAATTCTAACTAAAATAATAAATCTATTAAAGGAAATATAATAAATCTACAATGCACCCATTTCACTTCCACTCATACATCCAGTTTATACGTTGTTGCAAGTTGCTACTCTTTCCAACTGCCCAGCCAGTACTGAAAACTAAAGCAATTTCAAAAACTAATATTAAGTGAGTTCAGACATTTTACGGATGTCATACAACATAACCACTGTAAGTGCCACTTCACATAACTTTTATTTAACCTCCTACACTCCTTAAAGGACAAATTTCAATCTTCAGTCTTCATAATACAACTTTCCTTCCAATACAGATTAGACTTTAGCTGATGTGAAGCGTTTCTTTTTTGCTGTTAGAAGTTGCAATATGACTCCAAAATACTATATGAACTCGCCTTCCAGTGCAGCTATTCAAATCTTTATCATAAAAAAAGAGATATTACGTTTTATTGTCACTAAGCAGGATGAGAAAACAGTTTAATAAAGGAGAAGTATAATACAACCAGTCAAAACAAATTTCTCAGTATTGTATTACTAATATCGTCATTGTGCTATGTAATGTAGACAAAACAACGAACACTGATATTTAATACGTTGCATCAGTAGCCATCGTATGCTGCTTACCGGTTGCTCTACATGATCATTCCAAAAAATTATTGTAGACTCCTTTGCTTCACAAATCCAATTGTCAATATCAGGACTCCCCATTAAACGGCTATGGCGGAGAAGCCATATTGAAAACATGGAGACACCCACTATCCCACAGGTATAGTGCATCCAATGAAGAGTTACGCTCCTTGGCTTCTTGTAATTCATAACCTAAGAGAAAAGTACAAAATAATTACCATCACAATCATCACCACCACCTTAACCCCAACTATGTTGACGTTGATGGCATAATATTTATCCTGTCAATCATTTGTCTAAAATTAGTTAACACTAAGATCATGAAAAATACAATGGTTTAGTTTTACAAAAGATGTCATTCTTGAGAATATAAATTATATAATAAGACAATGATGGTTTGAAATAAATCCTATAGACATTGTCAAATAAAAAAAGCACAATCAAAGGCATAAAAGTGTGGTATTGAGGAACAAACATAGAAACCTTGGGATTTGGAATTCTGAATATGAGATTAATATGAATCCACAAACAGTCTTTCTCCTGTGGTAATCTGGGGATTACAGAAGTAAACTGAACTTACATGAGATGATTTTTTTGTTCAAAGATACAACATACCCTGTAAAATCCCGGGTTGGGGTCTGGGGAGGGTGTGTGTACCTAGACCCTACCCTTATCCGAAAAAGTAAAAAGGTTGTTTCCAAGAGACCCTCAGCTCAAAACGTAAGAACCCAATGACAAAGGGAAGTAGCACGTACAAAGTAAGAACCCAAACAAAAACAAGCACACATGCAGAAACTACAAACTAAGGCTCAAAGGTCTACCTACCAGCATAATCCTACACCTCCGGAAGCTCCTACCTAAGATCATATCTTTGGTAAGATCTTAAAGTCACAAGTCCTAGTTAATTGCATCCTTCCAACTCTTCTTGGGTATACCTCTACACCTCCTTACCCCTCTACCTCAAGCCTCTCACACCTCCTCACTGGTGCTTCCGTACTTCTCCTAAGTAAGTGCCTGAACCATCTCAACTTAGCTTCCCGCAACTTATCCTTTATGCAACTTATCCTTCACAGAGACCACTCACACCCTCCCTTAACCCCACTTCTAGCATGACCACACATCCACCTTGGCATCCACATCTCCATCACTTGTAGATTCCAAGCGTGAGTATCCTTCACCGTCCATCACTCTGCTCCATACAACATAGCTGGCCCAACCACTGCCCAAGAGATAGTATGTGTAATACTATCTAGCTTAGAGTTGGTGATTCAAATAAAAAGGCTTGTCATGAGTAGAGTATTCATTCTTTCTACCCGAAACTTTTGATAATGGATATAGTCTTTGGTGAATATCAAGTCTATGAAAATTATAAATGCTTGTGGGGGGAAGCAAAACAACTTCTGAACCATATACTTTCAGAGTTGTGCATATGCTGGATTGATTATGTCAAGATGCTCATCTTTTTCAGAATAACGTGTTAGACTAATTAATGATAACTTATCAACACATTAGTGTGAATAATCGAGAAACATAAGAGAATATGGATCATAAGAGCTCACAAGTAATGAGCAATAACAAATTGGTCCGGAAAAAAAAAGACATACAACTGGGTTAGAGCACCCCTTCACCATTGCATAAATCCAAAAGATTGGTCAATGTCTTGCAGAAATGATTTATGCTTCACTTTGCAAAAAAACAGTGATTCTAGATGAGACCAAATTCATCATAGAAAATAAAGGAATACAACTAGGATTTAAGAGTTTCCTTGACTTCCTGACATTTCACTTCTGTACAAACTGATATATCAAAACCACTTTCAATCTTAGGAGTTAATTAACATCGCAATAAAAATTAAGTCAATGATTTCATGATTTCCAAAAGAAAATCATGGGTGAAAATGCAAATTAACACCCAGTATAAATCAGAAAACATAATCATGGACCAAAGCTCTTACCGTCATTGATAAGTATGACTCCAATTTTTGTAAGTTCTGGTTAATAAAGTTGATGGCATCTTGAATCTCACAGTTTGTCCACCGAGAACCATCTGTATTTACTTTTGGAAGCTTCTCAAACATTAGAGGAAATGAACAGCCAACTTCAACAGAAGAGCCTGTCTGCAGCAATTGTCAAAATAAAAGCAGTAGATACAGTTAGCAAATTTAACAGCCAAGTAATCAAGTAATGTCCTAAAAGCTTTTAGAAGGGTAGACCTATGCAGATCTTAACCCTACATATAAAGATATAATTTCTTAATATTTTAGTTAAAACTATTAAAAAGTAAAGACAGAGGGAAAACCCAATCACCTGACATGTTGCATGAAAATGACCAATAGAAGCCTCCAACTGCAGAAACAGATCATTGATCTTTACCAATAATGATGGCATCGAATTCTCAGGGTCCTTGACTAATTGATTTCCAGTGGTGTCGACCTCCATGTAGATCTATTGCATTAAACAGGAGTTAGTTATCCATATGCTAACTGGCGTACAAGTTTTAATCATCAAACACTCATGCACTGCTAGAGAAAGGATTAGCTCATTTTGCAAATTGCAAGATGTCTCTTTTACCCTTTTTCTTCTTTTTTTCCCCTTTTTTCAGGTACATATGAGTGGACTAGGTCATCGTTGTCTTATTTCTAGTGGAGCTAAAAGAATCATTTTTAAAATATTTAACTTTGGGAAAATGATGAACTAAATCAAAATGGCACATAGAACTAATCTTGCTTCTTACTTTCTATGAAGTTTTGGGCAATAAATGCAACAATGCATCAAGGGTCTAATAGAAACAGTCTCTCTTGTTTTTACATGAGTAAGGATGCGTCCAACTTGATCTCCCAAGACCCCAATAGAGTTGAGATTATACTAGATGTGTTATTGCTTTTTATTATTTTTGTGGTACATAAGAGTGGAAACAGAATTAGACATGAGCACTCCTAATGTCCTCTCTAGATAGTACAAATACAGGTTTATGCCCATAAACTATATGAACTTTAACATAATGATATCTCTCCAACAAACTGAAGAATACTAATCTTAGATTATCTTTCCAATGTAGGCTTTGAAAACTTGAAGCTGGTATGGAGTTCAAAAATCATAAGTTATACTATAGAGTATGTATTAAGTAGAAAAGTAAATAAAGTAGCTTGTAACTGGAACACCAAACACTTCACTAGTATGGACTGGTAAATTTGCTATGGATAATCCACATTAGAATATCATAACTCAAAAATTACATCACAAAGCATTTAGCTAGATTATTGCATAATTATAAGATGACTTGATAAGCAGATTTGTTAACAGATGGAGATGCAAAGCATACCAAATTACCAATGTAAAATGGTAAATCCATCAATGGAAGATGAGAAACTAAATTTTGAGTGCATTGTTAAAACTTGTGGTTTGCAAATTGAAATATGTTGGATTGGGTAAGTACTATCTCACTAAATGATATGGTGTAACATTATTTGGAGCTTTACAAAGATAGAGCCATTTTCAGACAAATGTCTTAGTCAATAGCATGAGTCTAAAGAATGCTAATACAGAATATTAATGCAAATGCTTGAAAAATAATTAACCAAAATAATAGCGAAGGCACATATACGTAGAGGTGGCAATCGGATCAACCGGATCGGTTTCGGGTTGGATTTTTTCGGTTCGGATATCTTTCGGTTATATGTTATAATCGGTTTGGTTCGGATCGGATCGGTTAAATTTCGGTTCAGATTTGATTTCGGTTCTATACATTTTTCGGTTCGGTTCGGTTTCGAGTCGGTTCAGATACGGTTCGGTTATAAATCGGTTCGGATAGATTTTGGTTTGGATACAATTTGAGTCGGATATATTTCGGTTTCGGGTCTAGTTCGGTTCGGATATATTTCGGTTTCGGATCAAATATATTTTGGATATATATTATTATCTAATTAAAATTTAACTATCCGTGTTTCTTTTTATGTTTTATCACATTTATCAATCTATCATTAGTTCAATACCTCATATTATTTTATATTTTTTCTAGTTATATTATCTCTACCCTAAATAATCTTCCCTTTATGACTTTTTAGTCATATTTTACAAATTTAGACTACAAATTATGAAAACATATATATTTAATTATGATATAAATTTAATATATTTAAATTGATTTTAAAATTTAGTTTTGAAATATAAATTTTTTCTCACATCTACTAATATACTTATGTATATAAATGAAAGGATAAAAGATAAATTCAAATAGTATTATGTTCCATTTGAATACAATTTGGTAAAAAATGAGTAAAATTGGGTGAAATTAAGTGAATTTTATTCAATTGAGTGCAAAATTTGTAAATTATTGAGTATATTTGGTTGAAAATAGAGAAAATTAAATTTAATACAGTCAAATATAATTAATTTTACACCTAAATGTAATGGTGTAGATCAAATTTGAAAATGATAACAGTAAAGACTGCCGCTAGAGAGTTTTCAAAATGCTAACACTAGCATCTAATTTTATTGACTAATATTGAGTGAATTGGTTTGAAACTAATCAAATTAACTCTCAAATCAATAAAATTTATTGTAATGAGATGAAATCAAGATAAAATCTAGTTATTCCATACAATTCAGCATAAATTCCTTTCGTCCCAAAAAGAATATCACACTTCACTGTTTAAAAATTACGGAAATTTTATTTGTTTGTGCGTTATCATTTATATGTATAACTTATCTTTAATCTCTACATATAATAAATTTAAGGCATAAAATTTTGTACTTTTTTTCAAGAAGATAATTCATTTTATGAGGGAATGAGCAAGTAATGTAATTAGTTCAAATGGTAAAATAAAAGTAAAAATTTCAAAATATAATATGCTTATTGAAAGGCAAACATAGTTCTGAATTTATCAATTTTAGTTCTAATCGGATTCGGATATTATCGGTTTCAGATCTAATCGGTTTCGGATTTTATTGGTTTCGGGTATTATCGGGTCCGGATCTAATCGGTTTCGGGTTTAATCGGTTCGGATATTATCGGTTTCGGATCTAATCGGTTTCGGATTTAAATCGGATATGAATTATTTAATTCGGTTTTGGTTCGATTCGGATCATTTCGGGTTTTTGGTTATAGATCGGATCTTCATTTTTCGGGTCATTCCGGTTTCGGTTTCGGATATTTCGGTTCGGGTAATCGGTTCCGGTTCTATTTTGCCAGGTCTACATATACGCATAAATCAAGTTATATTCTACATGGGAGAAAATAACCTGAGCAAGAAATGTAGCCAAACAGCATCTTAAACTGCTCAACACAGTTATTCTCTCCGCTATAAAAGAGGATGCCAAACCATATGTGTGTTGTTTCCCAAACTCATCACTAACACAGTCACGTATCAGTTGGATTGTGCCATTAAAAAATGCGCGTGGACCTCTCTCACATATCATAAAGTATGCTTGTCGAGCATTCGACTCCTGAAAGTGATAGGCAAACACAACACTTCATTGATAAAAATTGTTGGGGAAAATCAATTGCATATGGAAATATACTCATTTCGTCCCAAAATGAATATTATAAACCCTCTTTGGGATATTGTTTACATATCATAACTTTCCATCTAAAGAAAGCATTATGTGGCTCACATCATTTGACTCTCTTCCAAACGAGTTTAAATCACATGCTTTTTACTTTTCAACACTATTCTTAGACTCTGGGAAGTCAAATCAAAAAATTCATTTTGAAACAGAGCCAGTATACAATAATAAAATATTCTTCCCTGACCTCAGCTTTAGATTGCCAGAATTCCAAGTTCTTCTGGATGTAGTGCAAATTTAGGAAAATGTGTTCTATGATGTCCTCCAGCACATAAACAATTCTGGAAGCTTCAGATGCATCCCTGCACATTTGAAGCAATATGCATCTCTTGAAATGTTCTTTTAATGTACAATATCTGTTTCTTCAAGAAATCTATCAAGCAAGAATGAACCCCATAAAACCGGAGAGGTGCCTGACTTTTCTAGCGTGAAAGAAAAAGCTCATTACTATTTACCATTAAAGCCGTTTTTACTATTTACTTTGTGGTGACTGAAAGCACATAATTTTTCCCAAGAGAACAGAAGGTCCCAGTGATAAAATAAGTCACCACAGTATAATTCCCATACCACTTTGTATCAAAGTTGAAAATAACAACAGAAGCAACAACAAATCCAGTATAATTCCAACAAGGGCCAAGATGAAACCAAACGTACCGGAGTAAAAACATAGAGGTTTTCCTTAAACCCTTGATCCATAGTTGCATTTACTACCCAAAACTTCATAGAAAGAACTACAGTAAACTGTAAACAAAGGAGGTTTAATGTTCCATTTTGATTCAGTCCAATGTTTATCTGAATCTAAAACATTGTCAAAAAAATGATTCTTTTAGCTCCATTGAACATGGACGAAGTATCAAAACTAAAAATTAAATAACAGAGTCATGCCATTTAGTTCTGCACGTAAGAAAATTAATCATCATAACAAGTTAAACACGAATTCAGAATATCAAAATTCAAAATTCCTAGGAAGGTTCACCAATCAAATGAAACACATTGTTATTGACACAACGTAGAACGTGAATATAACAAGAGATCGGAAGCTTACGAGGAGGAAGATCGGACTGAGGCGGGATTAGGCAGAGGAAGTGGAAGGCACGTCTTTCTGCGGCGGCGCCTGGTGGCGTGGGCGGCAGTGCCGCCGCCGCCGCCATAGATATTTGAAATACCGGCGAGCAGGCTGGAGGGGTAAACAGATGAAGTAGCAGGCAATAAGTTACGCACACTGCTCCATAGATAGTTGGAGTACAGTGAAACTAGTGTTTTCACGTCCTTCTTCGCCGCCGCCGATGACGGAGAGTCCATAGCTATAATCAGCTGCCAATGTTTCTTAGTCCACAAATTATATTCAAATTTTATTTATTTTAGTGTGATGATAGGGGAGCCCAATGACTTGACATCCTAACCGGTTTGAAAATAATGTTTTCGATTAGTGTTAGTATTTTAAATAAAATTTTAACGGTGTAGATTAATTTTAAAAACGTTAAACGCTACTCATAAATAGCATTTTCCAAACGCTAAATATGTTGCGTTATTCTCAACATGCAAATTGAGTTTTTGTGTGTCTTTGTTTACTTTGTGGGTGCTTGGGTCAAATGTTTGGGATCCCCAAATTCGTTTATTTTCATCGCTTATTTCATACTCACTAAAATACGGAGTAACACTCTTGTTCTAAAATAATAATAGTCCTTATTTCTTTTTCAGCTATTCAAACAAATAGTTCTCATTTAATTGTTATACTCTACTAGTATATCGTTGTGTCTCGCGTTCTTTCTATTTTTTGTATTACTTTCAATTACGTAATTTCACTTTCCTTTAACTCTGTATTAAATCAAATGTGCACTATTAATTTGAGACGAGGAGAGTGTGATCACGTCACATCTTGTTTCGTGAAAAGTTTGTACACTACATTTTTAAATACTGTATATACGAAGTAATTTTTTATTTTTTTAATTACATGCCAAGTTTCAAATGAATTAATTAAAAATAATTTTAGTCAAAAATAATTCACAACAAGAAAATAATTTGCAGACGAAAAGAATAATAATAAGATTGGAATTTTTTTAACATTGCGATTTGTATTTGGTAATGGTCCTTCCTAAATTATTTCTCGAACCATACCGTTTTGTTTTCAAGATCATATGCGTCGAATTTTTTTTAATGAGCACCGAAAAATCCAAATTGAAATTAAAAAAAAAATGTGATTCTAATACAATCTGAGTATATAGAAGACGAAAATGTCATAGTTCCTTTCCTTCATTGTCATTCCATCTTTAATTTTTGTACGCCCTAAAATATATTTCGCTCTCTTATTTGAGAAAAAGTATGTCTCATAATTAATTTTTCCATTATTTTAAGTTAATCTCAACCTGGAATTCAACTAATTTCTTAATCTCCATGTCAAAAGCGTCACTTGGCATTTTATAATACAGAAATGTTTGGGGAACACCAAAATGGTGCCCGTACCACAACCCTAAAATAATGAGACAGAAAATAAGGCATTGTTAATCCCAAATTAATTTTAAGTCGAGTTCAATGTTTGGAGTATGAAACATGAAGAGTAGAAATTTTGAAAATTGGTAGTTGAAATCCAAATTAATTATCCTAGTAATTGAAAGTTGACAAGTCAAAATTGGTAATCGGAACCTATTAATGAAATATGGAATTAGGTAACTAGTGAAATGTTAATCTTAAATCTAAATCTTAGATTCAGTGTAAAATTGACGCTTCCGACCCCCTCCCCCAACAGTAATCTCACCCCCACCCCAAGCCCCCTTTAAGTTCTATTAGACATATTTTACTCACACTCTCCTATGGGGCACGTATATGACACCCCATCAAGCCTCCATCAAGCTCCGCCATAACACATTGTCTTAAGTCAAAAGCAAAATAGCACGATTTTTACATTTAAAAAAATGGGAAAAAAAACCCTTTCAAATTTCAACCAAACATACCTTAAATCGAAAATAGGGTGAATGGGGTAGGGAGTTGGGTATCAAACAACGCTTGTGATTAAAGTTAGCATTTTGGATAATTTTTTTAATGATACAGATTAATTTTTAAAACACTAACACTAAAAACTATCATTAGATATCATTTTCAAGATTCTAAAACTAATGTCAAACGGGATCATAGACAATGATGAAGATGAAGATTATAATAGGTTAACAACTAACATTGAATGGCATTATTTATTTGAAGATTTCACTAGTATGCTGATAAATACAGATCTGAACTAACCTTTAATTGTTGCCATCCTTGTTTGAATTCCATAGAGCAATTCATCCAAACAGGGCAGATGACATCTGCATAGAGATGAAATACTCAACCACAACCAATATACTATTTTCCTACCTTAGCTTTTTTTCTGATTCCACTAGTGGTTCAGTTTATCCTTCTTCATCATAGTCTTCTTCATCGGCTTCCTGATTCCGGTCCATCAGATCACGGGCAAGTCCGAAAGGATCAATGGACATACCTTCCACGTTTGACCATCCGGGATAATCCTCCCGCTGCTTAACGGGCACTCCTGAAGAATCGTCCGTCTCATTTGGACCCACATTAAGATCAAAGTTTCTCACGGTCGGTTCTGTGTGCGGGCCAACGGGTTCGGAGTTTGGATCCGCGGGTTCTGAACCCGGGTCCGGCCTTTCCCGGCTCTTGAGTGATTCATCTTCATTTTTTTCATCATCACATAAAACACTGGTGGTCTGTTCTCTCTCTGCTGCCCGGCCTTTTCCACGACCTCTACCTCTACCCCTACCTCTCCCCCGCCCACTACTGCCGCTTGGAGGTGCTGTCTCGTGCTGCAACCAAAGAAGCTACCACAATTTTAAAGAACAATGTTTGTATATTTGCTTTCAAAGGTCCGATTCTCTTTCACATTGGACGCTAGTGTCATATTATAACACCTGCCATTTGAGGCCCATACCGTGCTCCATTTGAGCCCGAAGTTGTCCCCCAACACCCCAATTTGCTACCATTTTGGGGGGCATAGAGTTTTGGGGTGATTTGGGGGGGGGGGGGGGTAGGAACAACTTCGAGATCCAACATAGTACCATAGGGGCTTGGTGTCATGATATGAGAATATGACACCCTGCTCCAGTGTCAAGGTCTGCTTTCAAAGGGAGGGGGGAAAAGACAATTGGTTTACCAATGGATTGGGTTGGATGTCATCATCACTCTCATGATCCCCGGATTCAGCAATCTTTCTGCATAAGAAAAAAAATTGCAATAAGCAAAAAACTGTGTCCATAAGATATAAGCTCTCCTACCGAATGGAGCAGCCTTGGCATACCCAGCTGAGCTTTTATTTTTGCTCTCCTGCCGGAGTATGACAAAACAGTGTGGGCACGTGGCCGGATATGATAAGATTATCAAGAAAAAACAGAAATCTCAAGAGACCTTCTTTTACTGGTAGATCTATCATCAACTGCAGTATCAGAACCACCTAAATCAGGAACCCTGCTGACTATATCCTTAAGGAAATCAAACACATTAAAAGTTTGTACACATTGTTTCCTGAAATGTGAAGTATTAAGTTAGATTAATTAAAAAAACAGTTCTTAGAAAGAGATGATATACAAGAAACACATATCATAAAATATGTAGGATACTTACAAATGTAATGAATTCAAAGTTTTTGCTCCCCTCTTAAGTGTAATAGCATAAGTCCGATCACACAGATCTTGCAGAAAGAGCTCCAAAGCCTTTGCTGCAAAACATATTAACTGTTGTGTCATGACCAAATATGCATCACAGATTGAGTTTAAAAAACCTGTTTGGATTATTAGCAGGCACAATTGATGGAATTACAGGAAGAAAAGTAGTAAATTTCTTGAATTCTTTAAACAATATATTACTCTGTATGATATTCTAATTTTTCACCCTCTTATTATGCCTTGTAGATGAATACACTAATACAGAGTACTTTTGAAAAATAAACATGAACACAATATTTATTAGGGGCGAACAATGGGTAAAAGGTAATTAATGCCTCAGAGGGAAAAAAATGCCTTATAAAAAGGACCATAACCCTTTGATAATGCGCCAGTTGCGACTTTAAAAAAAAACCCGAAGGAGTATTTATAGAAAATGAGAACAAAAACCATTTTAGTTTATGTAGAGAGAAACGTACACATTAAGAGGGGTACAGCATTAGCAATCTTTCCCACATCTTCATCCGCTTGCATAATCTTCTTAATTCGGGCCTACAAGATTAGATCATCCAATATCAGGTCACTGGACTGGAAATTCTGTAACTCAACCATACCGAGAAACTATCAAGTTTAAACCAAAAAAAACATTTTAACAAATTAAAAAGGAGGGATATGTCACTTTGGTCCTACAAGTGATTTTGTTTAGCCATTAGATCCCCACCACCATAGGTGAGCAAATGTCACCCTTGACTATTCCAAGTTGTTGCAATAGTGAATGATTGAGAGTTGAATATAAGGGAATTGTGAGTTGAATGATAGTGTGTGGTGATTTTAAGTTTCATTGGAGCAGAGAGTGTGAGATAGGTAGATTTATGATTATAAATCAATCCCAAAAGTAACCCAATTTTCCTTTAGAAGAAAAAATCCAAAAAAAAGAGAGTAAATAACTACTCCCTACATCTCCAAAAAAAGACTCCTAGTTACTATTAACATGTCAAACTAACTCTACTTTCTTTATAACATTTTCATCGACCATTTGATAAAATAAAATAACCTTCTCACCACTTGTTTTGTAGAACTTTTGATGTAGTTTTTTAATATAGAATTTTATTTTTTTTATTCTACATTCCACGCCAATTTTTACCTATATTGAATTGAAAATAATTCCAATCAAACATCGTAAATAGAACATGAGCCTTAGTTTGGGATGGAGGAAGTATGAAAAAATCAGAGTTTTATGAATATTTGAAATCTAAAATTTTATTAAAATAATTTGATTATATATTGGAAAAAGAATTTCAAATGAATTATAGTGGAATATGATTGAATTATATGAGTTGAATTTGAAAAAAGTGATGAAATGGCACATTGTTCAATGAAAAACAAGAGAGAGATACTTGAATATGAATTGAATTGTAACCTATGCTCTTAATTTTGTGATAAAATGGCAACTCATTTATCCAAATGTAAGTTTTGACGTCAATCTTGCTTATTCGGTTTTCAAACTAGCCACTACCAATCTACCATCTAGCTTCTATAGGTCCTAACTTCCAATCAATGCCAATAACATTCTAGTTATCTCTCTTTTTAAATACACAGGTTCCAACTTTGCCGGAAGCTGGAAAAATCTTGGGTCCTAAGACCAGAACCCATGAAGAAGTAAGATTCACTAGACCAATTTCTTCTCAGATGGATACGAAGTAGAAAGGTACAAAGCATGTGCCAAGTATCACACACATACCATTTAACTAGTCTATGTTTAGTCATTGTTGGTTCTAACATGTTTTAACAACTTGAAATTAATATGTTGTTGGGGAGGCCACACAATAAAAGCAAGTACATCAACAATATTGCAGGTTTTACTAAAGTGCTCGCTTCTTATGACACCGGTTATATGCAGATGTCACCCTTTCCATTGCATTCTAACAAAATGAGATCAAACGGATCAAATAAGCCCCTCACCCCATCCGGCCATTTTCTCATCTCACGTCTCACCTCTCCCCCATTCCCCATATCCCTGCTCCCCTGACCCCTTCAACGAACCCCTCTCGCGTCTCCTGTCTCCCCAACCTCTTTGGTGACCCTTCACTTGGTGCTCCACTGCTCCTCTCCTCAACCCCTTTGACAGACAGCGTCATATTATAACACTAGACCCTTTGGGCCATTGGATTCTAAAGAAATAAGATGAAACGAAAAAAAGAAGGCCCTCTCCCCATCTCTCTTCTTCCTACATGCCTCTCCACTAGTCCCTTTTTGTCAACCTCGCCACCCCCACCCCCAATCAACCCTTTCCTCTATCTCCCATCTCCCCCCGTCCTCTTCTGCATTCTCATCTTCCCAAGTCCCTTTTGGCAACCCTTCACTCATCGCTCATCTATTGACGCCCCACTTCCCAACCCCCTTCAGTGACCTCATCCCTCCTAAAATGATTGATGTGATAATATGATGCCAATTACTGGTGTTATAATACTTAAGCCCTTTATTTAATGCTAGTATTTCAAATTTTAAATAATACTCACTCTATCCCAATTTTTTGTGAATGCTTTCTGTTTCCATTTATACACCCCGTTGGATTCCTTACGCATTTGCACATATTTCAATCACAAACTTTTCACTTTTATAGCCTTCATGCCCAATCGAAGCAGGCACATGGCCGCACACCACATTGGGACGAGAGAGCTATGTCATACCACAAGCATAGTGAATTTGAATTTATCTGATTACTTGATTTTAACTAATGATTCAAGATAGAACAATAACTGAATCCCATTCGCTTCAATTGCACATTAACTTCTGAGAAAACCCCAAATTACCCAATCACTACTCTACTCTACCAAAACTTCCAAAGTTATTGCCTGCCTAAACGACCCAATTCAACCCAACCCTATGTTCATAATCACAATCAATTGAACAGAGAACCAGAGGTCTTTAAAGCTGGCAAAAATAACAGAGACATATCACCCAAACCCCATTCATCCTAAATTCAAATTCGTCCATCTCCAAAACTAACCCATGCTCAAAACTCGCAAAGAATTGAGCAAAACAGGAGCAAAACAGATAGATTATACATAAGGCAAAAGACTTAGAAATCGATAGGTTTCAGTTTAGGGTTATAGGGGAGCTTACCGCGGGAAATCGAGTATCGAGCCTCTTCTTCATGGCGCCAACACGTCTGGATCAATCAAACCCTATGTTCACCAGCCTCACAAAACGCATATATAGAGATATGTATAATCACATGCGAGTATATAAAGATTCTTTAAATCTCTGCTTTTCCCCAGAAAAAAGTTCGACTTGTTTCCGTTCTTGGGAGAGACGATTTTTGATGTTTCCGGTCTTTAAAAAAAAGAAAAAAAAAAGTTTTTGAGCTATACTAATGGCATGTTTGGATAAGTTGGGTATTGGCTTTTGGTTATTTTAATTAATTTTGACGGTTTTGACCAGTCAAATAGTTCAATATAATGTTTACTACTCCGTAGTTGCTTGTTAGAGTGACCTCTACTAGAAATAGTCTTTCCACTTTCGAGATTGTTGGAGTATAATTATTTATTACTCCCTCCGTCTCCTAAGATGTTCTCATTTTGACTTTTAGTGGTTTTTAAGGAGAGTTGAAAAAAGGTGAAAGTTTACCATAATACCCTTAATGAAAAATGGGTGGAGTGTATTAAATGAGGTGGGTGAGGTGTAATAAATAAAGTAAGTGGGGGTAGTTGTGGTATTTTAATTGTTAAAAAATGAAATGAGAAGATCTATTGTGGACAAAGAAAAAGCGCTATTAGGAAGATCTATGGGGACGGAGGGAGTATATAAATATTAAATAATTTAATTAATTAATGAAAAGTAAATAAAAACAAATAATTGAATAAATAATAACTATTTTCACATTTTTCGAATAAATTCACTTAAAATTTGTGATGTAAAATAATTTTTATAAAATAATTTTATTCGAAATTTGGTACAAAGTGATGGCTATAAACCACCGAGAGTATAAAATAATAGAAGTTTTAGAGAGAGAGAATGCAAAGTAGGAGTATATCGATTTCAAATTCGGGATCCATTACAATGAGGGGTGCCACCCCTTTTATAGGGGGTACAATACACTAAGTCAAAGCCCTCTGATCGAGGCTTGTCGTTTAGCGGACGTCACCTGTCCTTAGGTCTTGTCCCTTTCATCATATCGCTTTCATCAAGTCTTCGTTGAACGTCGCTTTCCTCACGTCGTTGTCGCGGGGTTCGGGCTCGGCTTGGTTGGCCGAGCTGAGCAAGAGGGACGAGCGGAGCGCAGAGCCGGGCAGGAAGACGAGCGGAGCGCAGAGTCGGGCCGGAAGACGAGCGGAGCTCTAGGCCGGGCAGGAACGCCCAAGCCCGATACTTAGGAAATTTATGCAGATGTCAGCCCTAGGCTGGTGTGGGGTTATTCCCCATCAGAAGCCCCCCACTCTCCGGGTTCCGTGGCGTCTAGCAGCGGAGCGCGTGAGAGTAGAAAACACTGTGGACGGTCAGCTCGTGGGCCCACACGTAGCTTGACGGATCGGTGGTGACGTTTGGAGTTCCCCACGAACGGTTGCGGCGCTTCGCTTCTCCCAAGTGGAGGCCCATTGTGACACATGTTCGGCCCATCACTAATCGGGCCCAATTTTAGTATAAATAACCCCCAAGGCTTTCTTCATTCTCACAAATTCTAGAGAGAGAAAATATTAGGGTTGCCGTCCTCTCGCCGTTCCGTGCCGCCGTTCGCTGCTCTCCGACCGTCTCTTTGGCGACACACCCGAGGTCAGTTCCTCTGTTCTGCTCCTTCCATGTCTGTCAAGTCTTCCACTCTTCGTTCATCTGAACCCGAGCACGGGCTCGTGCTCGGCAGTCAGGGTTCCGTACCCCAGGGCGGCCAAGCAGAGCAGCCGGGTTTCCCATCCATTGAGGAAATCGCGGCCGTAGAGGTGCCCGGGGAAACTGAGCCCCGCCTCCAGAAGCGCACATTGCTTGTGGACTCGCTCATCCGCGAGTGCAAGTGCGACTTGTCGAGTGACGAGTTCCTCAAGGCAGTGCGCTACGCCGGCCCCCTTGTGACCGTTCGTCGCCCTACCCCGGAGGAGTCGGTCTTCGACGCTACTCCGGGCTACTTCGCCATTCATCTCAAGTCCCTTGAGAACGGCTTCCGCTTTCCCTTGGAGTCCTTGGTCACCGACTTTTTCAAGTACTTTGACTTCCTCCCGTGCCAATTGGTGCCGAACTCGCACCGATACCTGGCGGGGTTCCTGATCCGCTGTCGGGAGATGAGCGTGCGGGCCGACCTTGAGCGCCTGCTGACCCTGTTCTAAGTGGCGAAGTCCTCCGGGTCGGATGGGGGTTCTTTCGCCGCTCTCTGCCAGCAGCAAGAGAGACTTTTTAAGACCAAGAAGGAATCAAACAAGACTTGGAAGTCCAAGTTTGTCTTCGTCTCCGTGGGGTCGGCCTCCCCCTTCCGAGACGCTCCCCTCACCTCCTTCCGTAGGCGATCCAAACCCTTTGCCTCTTCCAAGGCTATTGCTGATACGGACGAGTTGTGTTCGGGTGGCCCTTACGAGCCCGGGGCCTTAGTAAATGACGAAGCTCTCGCCAAGTTTGGGTTCGTCTTCCATGACGAGGACGAGCCCAAGCGCCGAGTCGTCTAGAGTCAGCTCGAGGAAGGACCCTCATGTTCTCCTCGTTCACTTCCTTAGCGAATTTGTGCTCCATTCGCAGTTTGTTCTGGGGACTCGAACTTATCTTTTATCTTCCTTGCAGGTGAAATCATGATCGCCGCGCCCGACAGGACGAAGCTGTTCAAGTCTAAGCCGCGCTCAGAGTCCAGCCAGGAACGGCCTCCGCTCCCAACTTCCACACCGTCCGCCGAGCATGCCCAGGCGAGTAAGAAGCACAAGGACGTGAGCTCCTCGATGGAAGGGGCTTCGTTGAGCGGAGCGAGGTCCCCACCCTCACGCTCGGTGGACTGCGGGAACCCGACCTTCGTGAAGGTGGCGTTCCCCCTCAAGCCTTCGTTCTTGCATGGGGACTATGAGCCTCGCCGTTTTCTGCAGAGCTTCATCCATCCGCCAGACCGAATGGAGATAAGTTCGGCCGCCACGGAGGACCTCGCCTCCACTCACTTGCTCGAGTTGGGCTCGGTAGGCGTTCTTCGCTCTAGCCCGCGTGTGTTTCTGCCCGACACTTAGATCGATTCTAACAAGTTTTGCCGGAATTTCACTGTTGTTGTATGTGGCCATGCGCGCCCCAGAGCTGGTGGAGCGCTTCGAGTGGTATGTGGCGGAGAAGGCCAAAGGCGAAGAGGAGCTTCGGAGGCTGCAGGAGCACGTGGCTGGCCTCGAGGGGAAGCTCGCTGATGCGGAGGAGCGGGCTCGGGCTGCGGAGCAGGCCCGCATCACTGCTGAGGAGAAGGCGCGCCGCCTTGATGAGGAAGCCGAGCATGTAATTGAGGCCTTTTAGACCTCCCCCGCGTTCGAGGAGGCGGCTCTCTCCCGCATGGACGATCTCTTGAAGATCTGGGCTCAAACTCCCACCGGCCAGCGTCTCCTTTTCAAAGAGGGGCAAGCCAATTACTCCATGGGCCTGCACCGGGCTCAAGAAGTTTTGCTGGAGCGGATCCGAGATGGGAAGGAGCTCCTGAAGCCATGCGAGAACCCTGAGGAGTTTGACTCCTCCATTTACTACTCCGAGGACGAGGACGCCGCTGGTGGGGGTGAGGACAGCGCCAGCAACTGAATGCGGCTGAGCCCATCTCTGAGCTCCTCTCTTAGTTTTTCCTCCCTTCTTCTTTTCCAATGTAATGTTTTCGTGTTTGAACGATGTGTTTTGTATCGCACAAGTACTATCTTTGATTCTCCATGATTTGTGATGTCTTTATTGTTTTGCTTCGACTCTTAATCGCATTCCCTTAAGTTTTGGAGGCCGAAAGGCTGTTGACGGAGTGCTTGCGCTCACCTATGCGGGGCCGTGCTCACGCTTGGGCTCGCCTTGCCAAAGACATGCTCGACTCGTCCCGTCGCCTTACCGAGGACGAGCGCGGGTTCGCCTTATCCAAGTGGTGATGTGCCCAAACACCTTGGTCTTAGTGCCTTTGCCCACCGGTTCAGTCTAAGGCGTTTGCGCCGTGTACTAGCCCCATTTTCAGGGATGAATAAGATATGAATTTGATTTTATGTCTCGTTTTTTAGTTATTATTTTGAGCGTGAGTGTTTGACCTCCATCCGGGAAGAACATCCGGGTATGGCCTGCGCTCGGCTTCCCTCCCAGGGGGAGCGCCGAGCGCGAAAGTTCGACCTTCATCCGGGAAGAACGTCCGGGTATGGCCTGCGCTCGGCCTTCCTCCCGAGGAGGAGCGCCAAGCGCGAGTGTCTGACCTTCATCCGGGAAGAACATCCGGGTATGGTCTGCGTTCGGCCTTCCTCTTGAGGAGGAACGCCGAGCACGAGTGTTTGACCTTCATCCGGGAAGAACATCCGGGTATGGTCTGCCCTCGGCCCTCCCCTGGGGAGGAGCGCCGAGCACGAGTGTTTGACCTTCATCCGGGGAGAACATCCGGGTATGGTCTGCGCTCGGCCTTCCTCTTGAGGAGGAACGCCGAGCACGAGTGTTTGACCTTCATCTTGGAAGAGCATCCGGGTATGGTCTGCGTTCGGCCTTCCCCTGGGGAGGAGCGTCGAGCACGAGTGTTTGACCTTCATCCGGGAAGAACATCCGGGTATAGTCTGCGCTCGGCCTTCCCCTGGGGAGGAGGGCCGAGCACGAGTGTTTGACCTTCATCTGGAAAGAACATCCGGGTATGGTCTGCGCTCGGCCTTCCTCCTGAGGAGGAGCGCCGAGCGCGAGTGTTCAAGCAAGTTCTTTTCGCAAAAAACTTCATTCCATTGAGTTCAACCGAAAAGATCTACGGGTTCCCATTTTGGGGTCCGTGTACATCAGAAGTCTACTGATAAAACTTAACTAAGTTCTCGGCATTCCATGTTCTGGGCACGTCCCCTCCGCTCGGCGTCTGCAGGCGGAATGTCGAAGGGCCCACCACTTCTTTGATGATGTACGGACCGGCTCACCGTTCTCTTACGCAGCACCCAATCTCCTTCGACGAACCCCCGCGCGCGCACGCGCCCATCATGGTAGCTCTTCACCTTCCTTCGGTAATTTTCCGCCCGGATGAAGGCCGCTTCTCGTCTTTCATGCACGAGGTGGAGCTCGGCTGCTAGGGCTTCCTCATTGCGCTCGGGGTCAAAGACCTCCTCCCGGTGGGTTGCGATGGAGATCTCTGCGGGTGCCCTTGCCTCAAAGCCATAGCATAGAGCGAAAGGAGTTTCCTCGGTTGCCCTTCGGGGCATGGTCCGGTAGGTCCATAAGATGTAGGGCAACTCCTCTGCCCACTCCCCTCCACAAGCTTCCAACTTTTGTTTCAGCCTGTCGACTATCGTTCGGTTGGCGTTCTCGACCTGCCCGTTCGCCTGCGGGTACCCAACCGACGCATAGCTGTGCTTGATCCCCCAACTCTCGAGAAAGTCATTAAAGGGCTTGGACTCGAATTGTGTTCCATTGTCTGTGATTACGTGTTCGGGAACGCCGAAGCGGCAGATGACTTGCTTTGCGAGAAACTTCTGGCATTGAGCTCCAGTGATGCTTGCCAATGGGGCCGCTTCCACCCACTTGGTGAAGTAGTCAATGGCTACAATGACGTATCACACGTTCCCGGTACCTCTAGGAAGCGCACCCACGAGGTCCACCCCCACCGCACGAACGGGATAGCTGTGTTGATGGGGGTATAGTTTGTTGAAGGCCTCCCCGGTACCTTCTGGAACTCTTGGCACACCTTGCACTTTCTCACAAACTCCGCGCAATCCTTAACAATTGTTGGCCAAAAATATCCTTGGAGGGTTATCTTCCTCGACACCGCGTAGGCTCCTTGGTGGGTGGAGCAGATCCCCGCGTGCACCTCCTCCATGACTTGCTCCGCTTCAGCTGGTCGGAGGCACCTGAGCAGCGTACCGTTGTACGCTCGCTTGTATAGCTTTTTGCCCTCCAAAGCGTACCCAGGTGCCCTAGTCCGGACCAACTTGGCCTTTGTTGCATCGTCCGGGAGGGCGCCATTCTTCAAGAAGGCAATTATGTCGTCCATCCAATCTCTTGGCCGAGCATAGATCATTGCCACAGGGAAAGCATGGATGCTCGGCTCGGACAACTCTTCCACGTTCGCCATTCGCCTAATATGTTCGAGCGTGTCTGAGCTCAGCTTCGACAAGATATCCGCCTCGGCATTCTCCGCCCGAGGGATCTGCTCAACACTATACGCGGTGAAGCTCTTAAGTAACTCTAGAGCGGTATCTCTGTACTTCTTCATTCTTTCGTCCTTCGCCTCGAACTCTCCCGAGACGTGGCCAACTACCAGCATTGAATCACACTTTACCCTTAGCTTTGTTGCGTTCATCCCGGCTGCTAGGCGTAGCCCGCACAAGAGCGCCTCATATTCCGCTTCATTATTTGATGCCTTGAAACTGAATCGAATTGAGTAATATGCTCTGAAGCCTTCGGGAGCGATGACTACCACTCCACCCCCGAGTTTTTAGCGGCGGAGGAGCCGTCGGTAAAAACTACCCACCATTCGTCAGCTTCAGGTTCTTCTGGGCTCGGCTCCTCCCGAGCGGTGCACTCCATCCACTCCGGGTACTTGACCTCTCTGATATGCCCAATGCTCTAGAGGGTGGCCACTTCCTTGGAGACAAACTCCCTCCGCTCGGACGAGAGGAACCGCTTCTTCTGCTTCACCGGCCTAGCCTCCAGATTAACTGCCAAGCGGTGACATATGACTTTGGGGTCCACCCCCGGCATATCCCCGGGTCCCCACGCGAAGATCACGCGGTAGGTGGCGAGCACGTCCACTAAGCGCTTCCGCTGGCTCCCGGCTAGGCTCGCCCCGACCTTCACCTTCCGCTCGGGTGTCCGAGGATCGAGCGGCACCTCCTCGACCTCCTCGGCGGGCTCGGCCTTCGGCCGTGCTTCCAGCTTCCGCATTTCCTCTTGTGCATGCACAACCAACGTCTCATCTCTTGCCAACTTCTTTGTGATTCGGACATAGCACGATCGAGCTAACTTTTGGTCTCTTCTCGCCACCCCGATTCTCGAAGGAGTGGGGAACTTCATGCACAAGTAGTATGGGGAGATCACACATTCCAAGTCCTCAAGGCCGGGCCGTCCTAGGATCATGTTGTGCGCGCAGCTGATGCTCACAACCATGAACTCCATCTTCAACTTGGCCTTGTGCGCACCATCCCCTACTATCAGGGGCACGGTGATGACTCATTCGGCCTCGATGGAGTCCCCCGTGAACCCGGAGAGAGGAGTGCGCACGGGCCTTAAGTCTTTGCGGTCCAAGCCGAGGTCTTGAAAGGTCTTCTCATACATTATGTTGACCGAGCTTCCCGTGTCCACCAAGGTGCGGTGCACTATGGCGTTGTTGATCTCTATCCTCACGACTAAGGCATCCTGGTGGGGGCTCGGCGTGTTTGGAAGATCCTTCTCCGTGAATTGGATTTGCTCTCGTCTTCCGAGCTTGGGCGCTGGCGCCTGTTGGACCTTGGCGACGAAGGCCATGTGCTTCCACCTCTTCCTTTGAGCGGCGAAGTCCCCGCCGATATTTCCTCCGTGGATGAATCCCACCGGATATCCTTGGGCTTCGTCCTCGTCTAGATCATCACACTCTTGCCCAATGTGCCTCTTCTCGGGGTTCCTCGCATGCGTGGCCACCGCGACCGGCTCGGTCGGCTTCCTCCACGTTCTTCCTTCCGGCGGACCCCTAGAAGGAGCTGCTCCATTGTCTCGCGGAGCCGGCCGTCGGGCGATGAGTCGCTGCATCTCCTTCTAAAGAGTGAAGCATTCCTTAGTGTTATGAGTGTTGTTGCGATGATACTCGCAATACTTGGCTCCGCTGGACACCGCGTAGGCCTCTACGTGAGGGAGCGGGGAGAGGGCAAGCTCTCGACCCGTCCCCACGGGTGCGCCCACGGAGTATACTCCGGCCGAGGCCGTCCTCGGGCCCGCGGTGTAGTCTTTCTTCTTCCTCCTCTTCTTTGCGGCCTCTCCGGAGTCTGCAGGAGCTCTCTTGGCCGGTGCGGCCTCGGAGTCGGGGGCATCATCGAACTCTTGCGAGGCCAAGAACTTAGCGCGCGCCAAGGTTTCTTGGTACGTGGGGGGAGGATTCTTGCGGAGCTCCTTCCTCACCTCTCCACGGGGAAGGGCTGCTTGGAACATGGCCACCAAAGCTTGGTCATCCGCCCCGTGCACGTCTTTGGCTTCCTTCTCCCACCGGGTTATGAAGTCGCGGACCTTCTCTCCTTTGCAGGTGCATATGTTGAGCAGGTGGGAATAAGGTAGCGTCTGCCTTCGGTTGGCCGCGAAATGCGTCAAGAACCTCTCCGCTAGCGTATCCCAATCGTCAATGGTTCCCTTCGGGAGCCGGTTGAACCAATCGCACGCCGAGCCCTCCAGCGTCGCAAGAAAGTATCGGCACTTGACCTCGTCCGGGGCTGCCGCTGCTTCCATAGAAGCATAGAACTTAGACAAATGATCTTGGGGGTCCGTCGTTCCGTTGTACGCCTTGATCTGCCACGGACGAAAGTTTGCCGGCAGTGGAATCGACATGACCCTCGGAGTGAACGGGGTCACTGTCCGCAAGATGGGCTGGCTGTAGGGAGCCCTGGTCTCCACTCGGCGCTTGAGCTCGGCAATCTCACGAGCAAGCCGAGATACCCCTTGGTCAGAGACCTTCGTCTTCTCAGTTCTCGTCGGGCTATGGTGATGCTGGGTGCGCTCGTCCCGCCTTTCTCCGCTCCGCTCGGGCCTCGCCGAGCGAGCATTTGATGTCGCGGACTCCTCAGCATGCCTCCGCCTGCCTTCGGTTATTTGTCAGCGGAGGTCGCCCGGGCGAACTTCCGGTCCGCGGTCGAGCCTGTCGAAGGCCAACGACCGGGTCTCTTCCCCTCCTAAGCGTCTGAAGGCTGACACTCGGTACTCACTGGACTCATCATCCTCCTCCTCCGGGACATCCTCCACAATCACCTCCTCGATCGCCAGGGCCTTGCCGGGCCTCCTTCTGCTCCTCCGGGTCTTCTTCCCCTTGTGTTGGGAAGTGGCAGCGTGTTCGGCGTGGGAGCCGAGCGGAGCTTTGCCAGCCCCGGCGTCGGGCACGTTCCCACCCAAGGCGGAAAGTGCCGCAACGACCACCTGGAGCTGCTCCGCGGTCACCCCCAAGCCGAACAGCGCCTGGACCGCGTCCGGAGTCGAGCCGATACCTCCCGTACCGTTGTCGCTGCCCGGTGCGTTCTCCTCGCCAACTACGTGGCTGGTGGTGGGGACGTTGCTCCTTGTTTGCACCATTCTCGCGTTCGGGAGTTAACCTACGAGTATGTTCCTCTCCTCTCAACAAGAGCACCAATTTGATGGCTATAAACCACCGAGAGTATAAAATAATAGAAGTTTTAGAGAGAGAGAATGCAAAGTAGGAGTATATTGATTTCAAATTCGGGATCCATTACAATGAGGGGTGCCACCCCTTTTATAGGGGGTACAATACACTAAGTCAAAGCCCTCTGATCGAGGCTCGTCGTTTAGCGGACGTCACCTGTCCTTAGGTCTTGTCCCTTTCATCCTATCGCTTTCATCAAGTCTTCGTTGAACGTCGCTTTCCTCACGTCGTTGTCACGGGGTTCGGGCTCGGCTTGGTTGGCCGAGCTGAGCAGGAGGGACGAGCGGAGCGCAGAGCCGGGCAGGAAGACGAGCGGAGCGCAGAGCCGGGCCGGAAGACGAGCAGAGCTCTGGGCCGGGCCGCCCAAGCCCGATACTTAGGAAATTTATGCAGATGTCAGCCCTAGGCTGGTGTGGGGTTATTCCCCATCACAAAGATTTAAAAAAAACTTACGTATTCAATAAATTTTATAATAAATACTGATAATTTGTTAACTAGTCTAACATATTATAAATTTTATATAAATTATGTTATATTATACAAATTGTATGCATGAATTAAGTTTTTAAATATAATTACATCCACGACAACTATTTAAAAGCAGCTAAGTTTGTCAAATTTTTTTGTGAACAGCTAACGCAATCGACTGATCAAGACGGCTAACTCCAATAGCCAACACAAACAGATAACAACTAACAACCAATTGCCAACTTCCAAACATGACCAATATGATACGGAGTGAATATTTGTATTCTGAAATCTAAAAAATGATATGAGATCCGAATTCTGAAATAATATTTAAAATAATGTTTAAACTAGTTGTAGGAAGGAATGGTCGGTTACGATGGCGGTTAGCGACGATAGGGGTAGCTAGTGGCGGGTGGTGGTTTTCGGTTGATGGAGATATCAAACTCTGATATCTACAAATTCAAGAGATATCAAAACTTTCTGCATGAGGGATAACAACGATATGTAGCAGCCTTATAAGATTAGTATACGAAAAGCACGAAGAACGACTTGATAGACTTAATGAATAGTGTATAAACACTTTCAAATTAAAGTTATTTTGAGATATATCAAAATACTTCAATTGGAAGAGACGTGAGTAATCTAGAACGAGTATGGAATTTCCGATCGCATCTCGAACCATTCCAGTGTTTCATATTTATAGGAAAATTTCGAACGGACACGTTGGTTGATGAAATAATCAACTTTCGGGTAACATCCAAATGTTGAATGTTTAATGGCGAATTGGTTTGAACGACTAATTCTATAATTAAGTGCGAACCGTTGCAACATATCGCAAAACATTTGAATGTTTTGGATCAAACATTCGAATGTATTGAATTACAAATGTTCATCATTTTGACTCCATGTATGAAAACCCAAAGAATTTTCATAAAAAGACAACCTCAGCCAAGGTTTTATCCTTATTAAGTGGTCTAAAATGAAAAGGAATTGAGGTTAATTGTGTCATTCGATAACTATTCTCTTTCATTGTTGTTTTCTCGCCACTTTAGTAAACTTTTAGGAGTGAAATCTACCTCATTTTCTCTCCTCCTTCGTTTTCTCTTTCAAACAAACAAGTAGAAACTACTTGGATTTTGTGTCTTTTCTTCCATTTTTTCCTTCTCCCAAATTTCTCTTTATCCAAACAGTAAGGGTTGTTTTTAGTTTATTTCAACTCTTTCCTATTTAAATCCTTTTTATTTTTTCTACGTATTTCAATTTCTTCAAATTCTTTCTAAGTTATTTTAACAATGAATTTATAAAAATTATTTTGGTGTACTTTTAATCGGCAAAGATTGTTTAAAATTGGCATCTCATGTCATATTAGTATGACATTGATTCATCTGGGACACTTGTAATATTTTATTGGTCCCAACAAATAATTCATAGCATTTCAACCCAATCTCTTGATCCATTGCGAAATAGATGATATAAGAGGTGGAGGTCCGTAGTAGGTGACAGGTGAAAGAAGAGCTGGCGTAAAAGTTTGAAGCTAAGAATTGTTTCGGTTTCAATAGGGCACCATAAGTGTTTGATTATATGTGAATGTCAAAATATCTTAGGCGATTTTTCATATTTTGCATTAATTTTATTACAATTATTGTTATTATTACAGATATTATTTCTACTTTGATATCATGATCATGATTGTCATTGTTTTCGTAATCGTTATCGTCATCAATGTGAATAAAATCATAAAGAATTAAGTAATGGCAAATTTATATAGAGTACCACAAATTCACAATAGTCCACTTGAATCCATAAAAGTAATTTCCGTGACAATTCTTATTGAGTATATAAGATATTTCTTTTGAAATAAACTAGTCATATTAAATATCATTAAATTGAAAACTAAGAATTGAAATTTAAAATTTGATCATTGGAGTTTGAATGTTCTATAATTGGAAATTTTAAATGAAAAATTAAAATTAATGGTCCAAGACACAAAAAAGGAGTATTTTTTGAACATTGATTCCAGACCCTAGGGTTTTTGTTAAAGGCGCATATATAAAAGCTCAAATCTCGTCAAGGCCCCCAAAATCTCCTTCTTCAGCGTCCCGATTCTCGAGCTCCATCACAGTTTCCTTTATAATACACTCAAGAGCTCAGTGACGATGGCCGTAACCTTCTCAGATCTCCACACAGAAGCCGGCATCAAGTCGCTCGATGAGTTTCTCTCCGGAAAATCCTATATTTCTGGGTAATCATCAGTTAATTTGCTTCACAATGTAGTTCGTTGCTTTGATTTTGATTTTTCTGTTCGTCTTATGCGGGTTCGGTGATGATTTGCAGAGATCGGATCACCAAGGACGATGCCAAGGTGTATGCTGCTCTTCCGGAGGAGCCGAGCGCAGATCTGTACCCGAATGCTAACAAGTGGTACCAAACCGTTTCTTCCAAACTCGCCCCAAGGTATACATTGTTTAATTGTTGTTTTCTTGCGGCTATGATTTTTTTGATTAGTTTTGCTGGTTTGGTTAGTACTTTATTCTGTTTTATTATTAATTGTGAAGGTAATTGCGTGTTTTGGATTTTAACTATTTGAGAATATCTGTTTATAGATTCCCCGGAAAAGCTGCCGGAGTAGGATTTGGGAGTCAAAATGCTCCAGCTGAAGCTGCTCCAGCTAAGGAAGACAAGGTAGTCATGATTGGAACTGCTCCATCATATTCATCAATTTCCAGCAATTATAATTTTATTACCCTCAAAAAGTTTCAAACTTGAACTGAAGATTATGATTTTTGACACATTAAAAACCTTATTTTCATAATGATGTTCAGACAAGTTGAGTTTGTTAAAATTAGTTAACCCAGTTATAAAGACCTTATTTTCATAATGATTTCTGGACTTTCATTATTTTTCTGCAATGTTATTAGCAAATGGGGACCAAATCCATCATAGTGTGCGCGCACACACACACATATGCTCCCTCCTTTCCTAAAAGATTGACACAGTTTGACTTTTTTGGTCAAACTGTGGCACCCTTTAGCCACGAACTACTTATAGTTTAAAATAATTATATATTATAAACTATTGATATTTCAAAACTATATTTTAGAATAAACCCAATTTTACTAAATTTACATTATCACTAAATATACTTTTTCCATAATCCAAGGTCAAAGAGTGTCACAATTTGATAAAAAAAGTCAAATCCTGTCAATCTTTTAGGGACAAATGAATCCCCCATATTTGCTGCCCTGTGATATGAATGGGATTAGGCTGGTAATCTCCTGTGATTTGTTCACGTAAAAAACTGTTTGTGTTCAACAAATTGGTAATAACACTGGAATTATGGGAAGAGTATTTTATTACAGTTTATCACTTTTATTGAGGTGTGTCTTAAAGATTCTCATTCCACTAGTTAACATACCACTTTGGTTATGTGCAGGTTGCAGGAGATGATGATGATGACATTGATCTTTTTGGTGAGGAGACCGAGGAAGAGAAGAAAGCAGCGGAAGAGAGGGCAGCTGCAACCAAGGCATCGTCCAAGAAGAAAGAGAGTGAGTCAGAACATTGAACATTCTATGATGCATAGTTATTCACTACTTAAATCAAAATAAGGTTTCACATTGGAATCAACGTGAATAGTAATAAAGTTGAAATTGGTTAGTTGAAATTTATAGAGGAGCAAGAGCTGCGTACCCCACAATTCTTCTGTTGAAAGTAAAGTAGAACTTATTTTTGGGATCGCCAAATAAGAAATGTGGAATTTTTTATGGGACATGGAGAGTATATCATTCTGAAGTAGATGTGCTTAAAACACCATATGGTCATACTAATTGACGGAATTGTTGCATGGTCATAGTTATCAATATGACTGAAATTTAATTATGGTGCTTGTTTGTTAGCTCAATTTTTCTGCCTCTTAACCAGTATTTTTGCCAACCTCCAACTTAATTGACTGCTATAGCTGAATTGGTCGTAATGACTTAAACACAGTGTATTAGGTGTTTGGTTATGCTGAGATGGAAGAAGTTAAGGAGCTATGGATTTACATTCCTTTGTAGATACTATTTTCCTTTCCCCGTAAAAGAGTCATATTTCTCAACCTGTTTTTGTCATCGATTTTTTCCAATTCATTAATTTGTTTAAAAGTATAGGTATATTTTGTGCTTTCAAACCGTTTTACCTTACTAAAATTTAAAAGTAATACATTCATCAAATTGACCTCCTTTTTGGGATGGAGGAATATATCCATTGCAACCAAAAGGTTTGATGAATTCAGCACACTGGTCAGTTCAGGCAAAATGCACCTTTTACCAAACAATGCACATAATTTGTTGCTTTAACATTTATTTAACCCATCTGGTGAAATTGTATCCTATCACATTGTGTTTATGGGTGGGATCTAGCATAATGCTTGATTTGTATATATCATAGTGGAGCCAGATTTCATTTCTCAGTGGTTTTGTTTCCTTTGCAGGCGGAAAGTCTTCTGTTCTTTTGGATGTTAAGCCTTGGGATGATGAGACAGATATGAAAAAGCTAGAAGAGGCAGTTAGGAGCATTGAGATGGAAGGACTTCTATGGGGAGCATGTAATGTCCTCCCCTCCTCTACCCCCCACACGCGCACGTTTCTTTTTCTTCCCTAAGGGTGTGTTTGATTGGTTGGAGAGACATGAAATGGGAAGGGAAGAAAAAGAAACGCGTTGGATATTAAACAAAACTCATTTTTAAACAAAACTCATCAAACCAAACACATCCTAAACTCAAAGCCAATGTGTTTCTCTTCTTGGGCATCAAACAAAACTCATTCTTAATCTCTTCTTGCAGCAAAACTGGTCGCCGTTGGATATGGAATCAAGAAGTTGCAGATCATGATGACCATTGTCGATGACCTCGTCTCTGTCGATACGCTCATTGAGGAGCGCCTCACAGTTGAGCCGATCAACGAATATGTGCAGAGCTGTGACATTGTCGCCTTCAACAAAATCTGAGCTGTATGATATCTTTTTGTCCCGTGTTATTTTCGGTCTGTCCTCTCAATTTTAATACGATTTTTGAAGGAATCGCACCGCAGTTTGTTACTTTTGGATCCAACTTCCCAAAGTTAAATGAGTGAAACTGTTGCTATAATTTTGGTGTTTCTATCCAACTTCCCAAAGTTCTCTTCTATTGAAATTTATTTTTACTACACTTGTTTCAGAAGTGCCAGTTCCAGACTCTATTGGAAGTGGCAACATTTTGGTTCTCTCATAAATAAATGGTCTATCTATAATCAAGAATATTTCACGTTTAATATAATATTTTACGAAACTTAAAAAGTGTTTCATATTATTGGTTATGCACATTTTTTAATTTACTTCCCTATGTCACTTTGGCTCCGTTCCGTTCAATTTATTTTTTCTGATCTGATCTGATTCTAATAAGTTCGATCTGATCTGGTCTGATCTGATTTGATCTGATTTGATTGGATCTGATCTGATTGAATCTGATCTGATCTGATTGGATCTGATCTGATCTAATTCGATCTAATTTGATTGGATCTGATCTGATTTGATCTGATTAATTATGATTTAATTTAAAATTTCAAATCAATAATTTAATTTGACTTTATAATAACGTTTGAAAATTGTAATGATAATTCATATTATAATATAATCAATATTTTTTTATTTAATGATTATTTTTTAATAAAATAAAAATAGTTAATTCATATATTAGAATAATCATTCATATTATAATGTAATAATATTTTTTATTTTATGATTACTCTCTCCGTCCCTTAATGGACAATTTTTTTCTCTCCTCTCGATAACTTTTGTTTGTTTACACGATTTCATTAAGTATTTGATAAAATAAAATATTCTTGTCATCTCTTGTTTTGTAGAACTTTTGACATAGTTTTTTAATCTATAATTTTTATACCTTATTGATATACCAATTTGTAAATAAAATGATTTCAAAAAATAGGAAATTTTACTCCGTAACCCGCAATTTGTAATTAAATTAGGGACGGAGGGAGTATTTTTTTGTAAAATTAGAATTATACATTAGAATAAATATTTAATTTAGATATACATTAAAAAGTAATTAAATTTAGATAATCAATATATAGAAGAGATAGTATTTTTATTAAAATATATCATCCTTATAAAAGATCAAAAGTTTAAAAACTCAAATTACAAGTAGCAATAAAAATATATTTTAAAAGTAGAATTAGATTGACATTGTCAATGTATTTTAAAACTAATTTTTCCAACGTCTAATAATTAAGGATTACTTTCTCGGTTTTCTATTTAACCTATTTCTAAAGTTTATTCTTTATCATTTTTAAGAACAATAATAATAATGATGATGATGATGATGATGATAAGAATAATAATAATAATAAGTGTAATAATAATAATAATAATTCTTGATGGGATCTGATTTTAATAAGTCTTGATCTGATCTTATCTGATCTGATTGGATCTGATCTGATCTGATTGGATCTAATCTGATCTGATTCGATCTGATCTGATCTGATTGGATCTGATCTGATCTGATTGGATCTGATCTGGTCTGATCTGATCTGATCTTATTTTAAGAAGAATAAGAAAAAATAAGAAAAAATAAGTTGAACGGAACGGGGCCTTAGTACCCATTTTTAAGGTCCTTAAATTTTGGAACGTTGTTACTCTTAGCCTTTTGTTAGGGTATCATCTTTGATAGAAAGAAGAATAAAATTGGCAATTGTTATAATTAAGGTGAATATCTACTGAAATTTCATTATTGTGGATTAAATTTTGAAAATTGTAAACATAGATCATTTGTTTAATTTAGAGTGAATTATCAGTCTTTTCTAATTAGATATTTTCCTAAATTAGTCTTTAATAACTACTAACTTGGTATTTTGTACTCCCTCCGTTCTGGAGTATTCGTCCAGTTTTGACTTTTGGAACTGTTCATCTAAGCACTTTGACTCATCAAATTTTTTCAATGTGTAAGTCTAAATATAGTCATGTGTGATCTTGTTTGATTTGTCTTAACATATAAATTATTAATATATAATTTCTATAATTTTTTAATATACAAATTACAAGATAAAATGGATTAAAGAAGTGTATTGGATGGTGTGTAAAAATGAAAGTGGAAAAATACTCTGCGACGGAGAGAGTATTATTTTTTGTAGCTTTCTTGTATAGGGTTGATTTCGTTTTCTTTTTGAGATTAGGTTTGTCAACCTGTGAGAGCCTATATATACCTGTCTTCTTTATAAATCGAACACAAGAAATCGAGAGATAATTCACTCTAAATTAAAAATGTATATTAAATGTCAATAAAAATAAAATATTTTGATATTTTCTACTCCCTCCGTCCCAATTTATAGTGTCTGTTTACTATTTACGGTGTCAAATTTTATTCACTTTCTTTAACTATTTTCGTTGGTAATTTAATAAAATAATATACTATTATCACTATTAGTTTTGTAGATCTTTTGATGTAGTATTTTAATATGTAATTTTTTTAACTCTATATCATTTGTCATATAAAATGATTTGAAAATAATTTTAGTCAAACGTCGTAAACTAAAACAGACACTATAAATTGGGATGAATGGAGTATCATTTAGATATAAAGTATGTTCTCTATATGCTTTTTTTATAATTAAGTATGTTTACAAATTGATAATTTTTAAGTAAATATTTTTTCGAAATGGAGTCAATGAGCTTACTCGAAAATACAAAAGTATTCTTCATTTAAATATCAATTAATAGACATTTTTTTACAGAAAACTATTTAAAGAATATATCTCAATTATAAAGAATCAAGTTCATAATTTTTACTTATTAAAGACTAATTTGAAAAAACATCTTATTAGAAATGACTGTCTAATGAATTTACTCTTTAATTTATTCTTTAATTTTATTTGCAAATTGAGAGTTGTAGAATTGGTCCACTAAGTTTGAATTGAAAGAAAAAAAAACATGTTCTAATTGATCTATGGTGTGGCATACATGTAAGGATTTAAAGTTTGACTTTATCATATACTCCGTATTTTTCATGGGTTCATAATTAAGTATTCCCTCCGTCCTAAAATAATTTACTCTGGTATTTTTTTACTATTACAATTTCTCGATCACTTTTGTTTGCATATTTCTTTTGATGTAGTTTTAAAATATATAATTTTTATTTTATATTTCTACAAGCCCCATACATATCATTATCTAATGTATTTAGGAATTTCCACATTTAGTGGAAATTCCTAAATTATGTGGAAATTTCTAAATTATGAATTCATCTACTCCCTCTGTTCCATTTTAAATTGCCCGTTTGCCTTTTTTCTCCGTCCCAAAATAAGTTGTCTGTTAGTTGTTTTCGTAAACTTTTAAAAATAAAATACTTAAACTACCCCTAAAATAAGTCAATCTTCTTCACCTTATCTTCTCATTCATCATCACTCCTAAAAAGTAATGTCAATTTCGAAAAATCAACTCTATTTTTTGTTTTCCTTAAATATGCCCAAAAGTCAAAACATGCGATTTAAATTGGGACGGAGGGAGTATAATTTAAGAATTTCCACATTTAGTGGAAATTCCTAAATTATGAATTCATTTAGAAACGAGAGGAATTTTTTTGACAAGCCCAATACATATCATTATCTAATGTATTAACTTAAACAAAATGAGTATAGACCTAAGACAAATAGAAGAATTCATTTTCAATGCATAATGCTCCCTGTTACTAGGGAATGAGATTTTAAGTTCTATTTTTTCTTAGAGAATGAGTTTAATATAATTGACTATTTAATTGAATTCACACAAGTTTAGGTAAAGGAGTCACATCAACACCTATTGTTTATGTGATACACATACATTTGATTGTCTGTGAGAAAGATGGTGTATCACTGAAGTACATAACCTGAGATACCTCTAGCAAATCTATAACCCAAGATACCTCTAGAAAACTCATAACCCAGGATACCTCTAACAAATCCCGTAAAAGTAAATAATGATGGTCTGCTGACCCTAAAAAGGTTAAAATGGGTAGGTAGAGATGCAAAATATAAAAAATTGATTTTAGTTCTAGGACGTCAAGAATTGACTTTGGCTTTGAAGATGAGAGTAAATGTTAAATTAAAGAATATTACGGAGTATACTTTGTAATAAAATGCACGATCATTAATAAAGTTAATAATATGTGATTTTATTTTGTGAAGAAGAGAAAAACTTATGTGAACCACAATTCACTCTCAAAAAAAACAAAAAAAAAAAGAGAGAAAAACGCGGAGTAGAAAAGAACACATTTACTTGTACATATTCAGAACTCGCACGTTATCAAATTAACAAATGCATATTTTTTTATGGGTTACATAATGCTCATAGAATGTCCAGAACAAAATAGATACAACCGGATATACAATAAAGTTTGTCACATTCACACAAATAATCAAAATATACTTGGTAAAATTACAAATTTTAACAATCATACATTCCCTTGCAAGGAGATACCATAATCCTACAAGCCTAACCCAAGCTCCCCTTGAAAAAAACTAGCATTAAAAAAAAGATGAAGAAAATGCATTTAGGTGGTTACAAATTTTCCCAATCTTTCATTCCCTTCCAAGGAGACAAAAATAATCAAAGGTATAAACCTTAACCAAACACTCCCTATGATGCCAACAAAGTTTGATCCAAGTGGGCAGCTTAATTATCCTCAAACTCAATCACTTTTTCATGTTTGAATACTGTGAATGCAGCAAGAGTAGATTAGAAGAGCAGCCTCATAGGATCCCAAAAAAAAAGTAAAATCCACAAATGGTCATCTATAATTTAGGAATATTCCACATTTAGTCCACTACTTAGATGAAATTTCATTGGAAGTCTGCATTAATTGTGAACATTTTCCTTGAAAATTTGGAACATTGTGAACTTTTAGTCCTTTGTAAGCATATCATTTTGAGGTTTTTTTTTTTTGAGGAATTTTGATGGAAAGAGAACTAAAATAAGAAATGCTCACAATTAAAGTGGACCTCCAATGAATTGTGCATGTTTGGCAACAGTTTCAACATTTTAAAAAGACTATCTAATGACAATGTTTAGGTTTAGCATTTTCAAAGTTAATTTGCACCGTTAAATATTTTTCCCGAAACACAAAAACAATATTCCCAAACAAGGTCTTTATATAGTGGATTAAATGTGGAATATTAACAAAAAGAGACGACCATTTGTGGAATTTACTCTGAAAAAAAAACTTAACTAATAGCTATAGCAAAAAGGAATCTGAATATGGAAGGAAACTAATTTTTACGATATAGAACAACCTGATAACTCGATAGGTTCAGAATCTGAGGAAGATTTGTCAGCATCAGAAGATTCCTCCTTGCTTGAAGATTCTAGTTGTTTGGAAAAGGCATCCAATTCCTCGGGGCTAAACCAGTCATTCTTCATCTGTATAATGGATGTCAATATCTTACAAACTTGAATGAGCTTTTAAAATGTGCTTGAACATGTGTAATGTGTTCAAAACTAAATCAATATTTTAAAAAATTTCATTGTCCCGTTTATATGGGGAGGATTTTGTGGGACTAAGTGAATGTCCCGTTTAGCTTATTAGAAAATTTGAGATAAGGGTTAGTTTGGATGGAAGGTTTTGGAGAGAAAAGGCTCAATGGCTTAGCTTATACTTTGTACTTTTCATCAGAACCTTTCTGAAAGTGAAGCATCGAGACATTATGAGTGAAGCCATGCAGAAGCATATTTTTCTCCAAAAAGGAAGAAAACTGTATTGAATTTCTGGGAGCACGATAATTATGTAATCTTGGAATATTCTTGTAAATTTTCAAATTTCTAGGGGTATTTGCATGAATTTTTCCAACTTTCTAATGAGCTAAATCAACATTTTTCTTTCGTGGCATAAAATGCTTAACCTAAATAACTCATTTTCAAAATTGCCCATCAGTCATCTTCCTTCCTCTCTACTTCTCTAGCTGTTTTTCTATAAATATGAATCTAAATGTTTTTACTATCAAGTATTCCAATTTATCTTGCGTAATTTTCTTTTTAGTCCATCTTAATTTTGTCTTTTCCCATTTCCACTTGTAGATATCATTATGTGCTTCACCTTATTTCTCTTCTTCCTCTGCATAAATCTCAAACATACACTTTTGACTTTCTTAATCTATGTGCATAGTCAGAGTGAAAAGCATGAATTAAGACGAAGGGAGTAATAAGTTAACAGTGTAATATATGTTTAACAAAAACCATGTTTTGTGTTGTACATCAATTTTTCTTTTCCTTTTACAATTTTGATCGAATCCTTATTGCTTGATTTAAGGTATTTGTTTCACAGACAATATGATCTTAATTCATTAAAGCTAAGAAGATAATAATAAAGTAAAGACTGAAGATGGTCTCGTGAGCGACTCACAAAGTAAGGGTAGCCCTCAGCCAGACTAAAGTTATCGGGAGCATGTCCTAAGAAAAGATGGATGAAGTACAAAACATAGTACCCACACTCCTCACCGTTTCTTTGTTGTGGAACCTGAAACAGTTGATCTTTTCAAGTGAGAACATGTACCAAAAAAAACATGGTAATGCCATTAAAGGTCTGTTGAAATGTTATACAACCACATATTTTATTAAGATTTCAATATTTATAAGATATTGGGAGTGGGAAGAAACCTTGGGAATTCGAAAAGGGATCTTTTTTATCATTTTTGTTGGTACTGTTTTCTCTCCCGCGCTATAAAGATCAGAAACAAATCTGCAGAGCAAGAGGATGAACAAGTTAATGGTGCAATTTTTTCCGGAACACTAAAAAAAATTCAACTGAACTGGTGAATTACTTTCTTATCCCGGATTCTAGTTGTTTGGCGTGTGCAGCTTGCATGGAGTCAAGCAGTAGCAAACAAGGAGTTTCAGATTCTGACTCAAAACTTTTGCCCATGTTGCACATGATCAATAGACACCAATGACCCCTAATTCAAAAAATTACAAGTTAGCACATACTACAAAAAAACCTCTATTTTTCGGGTACTTAGGGATATGATTCAAATATTTTTGGAAATTGTTGTAAAATTTCCACCTATATTTTTTGTCAAGACTCTTTATATTTACATATACTCATATTAAGTCTTCGTAATGAAAATAAATAAACGAAATGCCTTCGAAAAATAACAGTAAGTAATTTATTGAGTTTGAACTTATTTTTCATTTTATTTCCATTCCCCTATGGAGCCAAAGATTCACAATTTTTTGGCTTTGGGGTATGATGGAATAAAGCAAATTGGCTCTTTAAACAGGCAGCGCTTCTTGCAAAATGCAACTTTAGACGCCTATCATGGGTCATCAGAAAACAGCCGCTCTATGTTTTAAACATAGGGGTCACACTGCGTACATCCGACCCCCCCTTACCCCGCAATGGGCGGGAGCCATTGAGGCACTGGGGTAATGTTGTTGTTGTTGTTCTTTGAACTTATTTTTCATTTTCCCAATTTTTTTTCATTCCCACTTTCTTCTATAAACACCTTGATTCCTCTCACAAGCATTTTTCAACCCCGGAATGGACCTAAGGGGGGAAGAGAGAGTGAACTTGAGGCATCTTATAAAAAGTCCCAAACCTATTCCTTCCAAATGCAGTACAAGTACTTAGGTAAGCACGAGCCAGTTAAACATACCACCGAACAATAGGAACAAAGACATATTTTTTGGAGAAGATCTCTTCCTTCTTGATCCAATCCAACACCTTAGCTTTACTGGTTCTATCTGTGTATAAGTGATACCATAGGGAGTCAAGGCATGTAAACGAACTTCTCTTCTCTTCAGGAAAAGCCCTCCATATTTTCCTTCAAAAAAACAAAAAAAATTTAAGCAAAACAAAAGACAAAACAATGCAGTATGGTTCTTTAAATTCAAAAAATTAAACTATTACTCCTTAAGAAAATAATAATAATAATAATAAATAATAATAATAATAATAATAAAAGAAAAGACATAAGTCCAAAAATCGTACTCCCGATAAAGCTCAAAGGTAACCGAGTCTAACTTTCCAAGAGCACTGCTTTCACACCTTCTCCTTGATTGTCCACGCCAGTGCAGAGATCTCTGCGAGATAACTTCATCATCGCTTGGGTCATGGATGTCCTTACACTTTCGTTTTTTACGCGCGCGCGACTTTTTTGGTTTAACATTTAATAACTGGGTATTTAGTTCAAGCTCATTTGCTACATCCAGACCTGAGAAGAAATAATTTACAAGTGAAAACCCACAACTGTCATTCGGCCATTTATAATGAATTCTGGAGGGACATAGTTTTTGTTTCTTCAATTCATAACTTCAGTGAGTACTTTCCTTAATATTAAAATATTTGTTCACTACTCGTAATAAATATATGTCAATAATCTTAAAATGAAATCAGTAGCCAATATGATTAACATTTTGAAAGCGACAATATTCCAGATATAGAATAACTTTTACAATGTCTCTTCAGTTTTTATAGGAATTAGAAACAGAGCAGATAAGTTAAAAATAAAGATTTATAACAATAAATGAACTAAAAAGGAAACAAACCCCAAATGATAGAAGAACAAGAAAATTCATTGATAATATACATTTTCCGGAATGTGACATGTTGTACCTTTCTTGTTTACATCACCCCTTTTTGATCTTTTGTTACGGGGAACACTTTTCACCAATGAGGAGTTTAGACTAATGCAGCTGGAATTCCCAGATAATTGCACGTTCTGTTGTGCGCATTGAAAAGTCTCTGCTGTAATGAAAGAAATCCCATAATTAGCAAAGTTTGTGGGTTCCAAATCATACACACACTTATAACCCTTGGCTCAGGCCAATATTAAAGCATTTCATGCTAAAATGGAGTATATTGTAGCCAAAACATTCATTGGTTTAAGCACTTCTAATTTTGCACTAATTTATGAGGCAAATAACCAGGCCCTCCAGAGCACGAAAAAAGAAGCACCAAACATAAAAAGCACACAATCACAAGTGCAGAAACTACCACCAAGACCAAATGCCTACCCAGCAACCCTAGTCCTAGCTCCTTAGCTCTCCATACACTCCTATCTAAGGTCATATCCTTGGTAAGAGCCAGAAGTCATAGGTTTGTGTAATCACTCAGCTGCCTCATTTGCCCAAACTACCTCAGCGTAGCTACCATTATCCTCCACAGATGCCACTCCTACCCGACCTCGGATAACCTCTTTCCAAATCATATCCAATATTGTCTGCCCACTCATCCACCACAACAATTGCATCTCTAGAGCATGCAGTTGACAAACGTAAATTTTCTTAACCGCCCAACACTCTGCACCATACAACATAGTTGGTTTGACTACGGACCGATAGAACTTCTCTCATCCTAACCAAAATCTTCTTGTTGCATAGAACCTCTAAAGCCAAATTCGACTTGGCCTAAGCCGCTCCAATATGGTTTTCAAAAAGTATTGCTTTTCTTTCAATAGTTGTACGGCTTGTACCCTACTAAAACTTAAAAGCTATAGATATGTGAATCATGGCACTTTTTATCCCACAATTCGAATAAAAAACAACTATTAGGGGCCTATGTTGTATTGACGGTATTATTTTTAATGCGTTACTTGGTAACTATTAGAGGTCTACTTGATGATTACTCGGTGGTATTGTATGATCAAAGGGATCCCTATACTAACACTCCCCTCATTGTCATTCAATACCATATTAGTTTCATCAACATTAGAATTTCCAAGCAGAGTACCATACGACAAAGAAACACTAAGAAAGTCAAAAGGGGAAGAAACGTGGTAGATGGTCGCAGGAGGAAAAGGGCTTGCAAGCTTGTCGTAAGATGAACAATTGAACAAAGACAGGAAATTTTAAGAAGTATTAAAAGAGACTAACTTACCTTTAAATGTTTCATGTCACCAGAATCACCACACCCTCAAAACTTCAAATGGAGTCTGACCCTGGTCTAACTCCCTAGCTTTCATGTAAACATGGTCCGTACTAATTCTTTAGTTTGTAATAACTAAAAAACCTTAGGAACATATCTTATTAAAATGAAGTCCCTGGAGTTTTTAAATTACTTATTTTTTGCAATGAACTTCTCGTTTTTTACCCCCAACGGAGTTACTCATTGCACTCCATGCTCGAGTAGCGAATGCTTGCTGGGTACTTACTGATTTAATAACTTAGTTAATGGCCTGAATACCTTAACTCCTTAAGCACCGCAAAGAGATTCTTTGTATTTAACTTCAAACATCCTTAAACATTCTCAACAAGACATTGATACATAACTCAAAACTCGAAGTCTCATGGAATAAAAAAATTAGAACCAAGAAAAAAAAGCAAATGTGATTCAATGGTGTCGGGGTCTCTTGGAAACAACCACACTACTCCCTGAGTAGGGTTAAGGTCTGCGTACCCACACTCTCCTCAAACCCTACTTTTTGTGGAATTTTACTAGGTTTGTTGTAGTAAGGAACATCAATTTGTGCATAAAATATGTAAAGGAAGCTAGAGGAAGCACACCAGCACTTATGTAGCTCTCGGCGGCGGCTGCCTCAGCACAATTCATATCAATCCCTAAGTTCAGCCCCAAAAAGGAAACAACAAAGTAAGCAAGCAACTGAAGAAGAAGAAGAAGAAACTTCAAAACCTCCCACGAATACATATCAATCTACAAGAAGCAAAAAAGGAAACACCAAATAAAACCCAAAAAAAAAATAAAGGGGTTTTGAGAGAATAAACAAAAATGAACCTGGAATCACTTGCTCAGCCTGCGTTTGGGACTTGGCAGCCCGCTTCCCCTTTCTCGAGCAGCAGGTTTTGGTCGCCATCCCTTCAAAGAAAACCTAACATATATCAACCAGGAAAGACAAAAATGAATTCTTCAAAGACTTGCAGCCATCACTCAAGATTTCTTTGGGATGGAAACAAAAAACCAGCTTAATGATGAGGGAACTCGAGGGTCAGGGTCTTTAACATGTGCTGACACTTGAAAGGATGACCACGATACATTTGTATAAAAAGGCGCACAAAATACTCAATGGATAAAATACCAAAAAATAACCACCATACTAAAGAGAATGGTCGGTCCGGTATTTTAGATCGGTACGAGGTAACTTCTCATACCGAAAAATCTCGAACCGAACATATATACGAATGTATTATAAAAATAGTAACGTTTTTATATTTCTTCGTTAAATAATAAATTGTTTTTTAAAAATTTGTTCAAGTGTAGATGAATTGCAAATAATCTATTATTCCATATTTAAATAAATATTATTTGAATTCTAATTCTTTGTAGATGAATATAAAAAACTTAACAAACATTTGAAATACAAACTTAATTGAAGAAAGTTTGCATTGAAGAAAAATATAAAGAAGCAAAGTTTATTTATACCTTTACCAAATTACCAAATAAGTAATTTTTGGTACCAAATGAAATTTGTCGCACCATACCGTTCCCCGGTTCCCCCTATTAGATGGTGTTTGGAAGTGATTAACTAATAGATAAAGTGATTTCCACAAAAGCTAAAAGCAGAAGCACCTCCTACCTGCTTCTCTGAAACGGTGCTCTATGTACAAAATAGTAGTGGTGAAAAGCAGAATCTGACATCCAAACAGAGTAAAATTACTTCTACTCAAAACAGAAGCTAAATGATTAAAAGCAGCACACTGCCGAACACCCTCTTAGTCTGAATTATTTAGATTGGTTTGGGAAGTGGTGTTATAAGAAGGTGTGGCCAAGTCCCTTCTCACACCCCATTACACATTACCATTTATGTAGTAACACATTAACTTACATATCATGAAACCACTATACTATTTATAAATAAATACTCCCTCCGTTCCGGAGTATTCGTCCACATTTGACTTTTGGAACTGTTCATCTAAGCACTTTGACTCATCAAATTCTCTCAATGTGTAAGCCTAAATATAGTCATGTGTAATCTTGTTTGATTTGTCTTAATATATAGATTATTAATATATAATTTCTATAATTTTTTAATATACAAATTACAAGATAAAATGGATTAAAGAAGTGTATTGGATGATGTGTAAAAATGAAAGTGAACAAGTACTCTGGGACGGAGGTAGTATATTATTGTAAAAGTATGATATTTTAAAACTTCATTGCTATTAGATTTTTATAATGACCCAATTTTTTTTTCATATTTTATAAGCAAAGTTTAATATTTTAACTAAAAAACAAATAGGAAAATCATTGCATTGTATTCTTTTCTTGTTTATTTCCTTAAAGACTAGATTTTTTTTACAGCAGGACTCTAGTTTAGCGAAATTCCTAAACTGTCCCTCAGTCTTCTCTTCCAAACTCAAACTGCAAGAACTCTTTGGATGAGAAATACTCATCAGCCTCAAGAAGCTAAAACACAGAAACTTTTGATACTTGCAACAAAAGATTGGATTTTTCTGTCATATTGAGCAGTGGGCTGCTTTTGTATTCTTGATTTTTGCAAGGATCTTATGGCAATTAGATCATCCTAAAAAATTCATTTTTTTATCCATGCAAAATACTTCATCCGTCCCAATTTAAATCGCCTGTTTTGACTTTTGGACATATTTAAAGAAAATAAAAAATAGAATTGATTTTTCAAAAATTGACATTACTTTTTAGGAGGGGTGATGATGAATGAGAAGATAAGGTGAAGAAATGTGACTTATTTTAGGATAGTTTAGATATTTTATTTTTAAAAGTTTACGAAAATAACTAATAGACAACTTATTTTGAGACGGAGAAAAAAAACAAACAGGCAATTTAAAATGAGACGGAGTAACTCATTATCAATTGCTAAGGCAAACTGTCATGTTAATTAATAATCATGAAACTTTTTTTTTTTGAGAAGAATAATCATGAAACTTGTCTTATACTCTCTGTTAAACTTTATTCAAGTCCAAAGGAATGACTTAGCATATTATTTTGAGTAAAAAATATCAACAATAAAGATCAAATTCTTTGTAACTTTTACACTTCATAAAAAAGATGAAAAGTTGATTTAAGAGCAGAAAGCACACATACTGATTCGCTTTGAAAACAAGCCATTAAGAAAACTGTAAAATAGAGATAATCAACTCTGTAATTGTAAAAAAAGGGGAAAAGTTAAAAACCAATAGTGAAACCATAATTTGGCCTAAAAAACTGATCAGATGGAATTTCAGAACATTTATAAAGAAGCAAAATAAGCAGCTAAAGAGTGGGGTTAAATATGTAAATACTGCCACCACAAAGTCTGGATTTGGCCAAAGAGTAGATAAGAGTCATCATATCATATCAGATCCTTTTCCTCTCCCACATGCAACAAAAGCAAAAGTTGTCCCAAAACAGTTTGTTGCCATGGGAGAGAAAGCACAAACCAAAACACCCAAAAAAAGAAACATTACATCCTAAAAAGATCATCAGAAGAACATGGTCTACTGAACTTGTATATACACAGACAGAGATGATAATCCACTGCCACCTCAGCAGAAGAACATGGAACTGGAGACCTTGTCCTCCAGCTTCGGCAGCTGCGGGACCGGGGCCGCAGCCTTGCCACCGCCATCCCGGGACGAAGTGTCCGACGAGTCCCCGAACTTCATCCATTGTCCCAGCTGAGTTGCAGCCAGATGGGCATAGCAGATTGGAGCAACTGTTCATGTTTCAACAAGTGTTCATAATGAGTCTCTCATTCTAATGATTTGGTTTGCAGCAGTGGAAGAAAGAGATCAAAACAAGAACAGTTAGATGAGATGTATAAGCCAATGAAGTGTAGAGAACTCACCAATTGAGATTGCAGTTGTGCTTCTTTGGTACCTGCAGTTAGAGAGCAAAACCCATGGCTCAGATGTGTGAAATCAATCATCTGAGGAGACTTCAAATTTGTAGCAAGAGGAAATGCATATGATAAAGAACACTTACACATAAGATAAGCTGTGGACAAGTTCTTGAAGCTCATCGGGAGAGAAACCGACGTCATCCATAAGGACATGGTAATGCGTGGGACGTGTGGTTCCCTGTAGGGTGGGGGTGGGGTGGGGGGGACTTAATTTAGCCACAAGAGAAAATTTGGGAAAGAACCAACATAATGGGTCATCATCAAGAAGGGAAACATACAATCATTCCAGCATGGGCACACAGGTAGAAGTCATTGTTCCTAGGATGGCAAACCTTGTTGTCAATAATTGTCCCTGTAAGCTCAAACAAACAAAAACTTGTTAAATTACGAAAAAGCCCATTGTGGAGAGATGATTCGTTTCATTGTTCCTAAGCATGATTGAATTGTGAGATTAGTGTTACTATGGTGAGTACCTGGTGGAACATTTTCAGGAGCTCCAGGCTGGAAGAACTTGGTGTGGTGATTCTTCTGAGCAATGATAAGGGTAAACTTGGGACACCATTTGTCATCAAGAAACTTGCAAGCCTATACAAACAAAACAAACAAGGTGACTGGTCAAGCTCAAGCTCCATGATCTGGTCAAAGACAGAAACTTTAAGCAATTTTTGCTCTGATGTAAAACAGTCACCTCCATGATCTGGTCAAGCTCAATGTTCAATACTTGGCTGAACTGGGATTCACTCACACCATCCCTGGAAGTAAATGAAAACAAGAATCCAATAAAACACAAGGGAACAAGCCATAAAACAGAATGAAAGGTCACATTTTAAGCGTATAAACACCAGCTGGGAAACATACCTGAAAATTATGATCTGGTCAGGCTTTCTTTTGCCAGAACTGACATAAAAGTCCAGCAGAAGCTCCCTGCAAGCACAAAACATTATACATGAGAATTACTTCACAATCTTAAAAGTCACCTTTGTTGAGACTAAAGCCAATGAAATGAAGGGCAATACCTCATAATTCCCTCATCTTCAGTGCCAACGGGTTTGAACAAGTTATCAATCATTTCAACCTTTGCAGACTGGGTACGAACCGAAGCTCGATAACGTGAAATGGAGGGCCACTGTCTGGAGCTAACAACCTGCAAAAACAATGGAAAATCAAAACAAAACACAGCTAAAGAACAAGCCAATGATTGAATGACTAAAGAGGCTTGAGATGATTTACCGCGGCAATTGATGGGATATCAGTCTGACCAGGGGAGCCGTGCGACACATCCATTCCGATAATAATTGTAGGAACTTTAGAAACAGCAGGAATAGAAGGATTAACCTCAGAGAGAAGCATTGAATTTAAGCCCCCAAGCTGGTTAGAGTAAAACAAATATAGTTAAACATAACAAATTATGGGCACAACAATTGGGTGCATGATCTTAAAAACTTTTGGTGTCAGAACCAAACAAACCTTGGCATTGATCTTCAGAAGAACGTTTGTGATGTACTGGTCATTCACTCTGGTGGGCGCAATGCACTGGGTAACGATACCATACTCAGCCAGATTCTTCCTTTTCCATGGCCCTTTTACATAAAGAAAGTGTTAAATCACATGGTTCAAAAGGTAAGCTCAGTAAATCAGAAAGCATAAGAGGAAAATTGTCAATGGAACTAACCGTATACATCACAGTTCTTTCTCTCTGGGAGAATGCAAAGCAGAAACTTGGGCGCCCCGGGGAGCTTGGATTGCACAGATTCAAACATTTTTTCCACTCGGACCACTGGTGGAGCCCTTCTGAACTGGCCATTTTCTTCAAAAACGTCGAATGGGGGTTCGACAATCTTGAAAATTAAGGATAAAGTTTAAAAAAAAATGAATTGGAAAATAATATACAAGTAACTCTGTAAAACACAAATATTGAAGAACATACAATTCCTTTCATTTCTCCACACTTTATCAAGTTGCTGATAAGTCCACGAACATCACATCGTGCAGAGAAATTAACCACAGCCCAACGCTCAATCTTACACGGATCAACAAGTCTCTGTACATCCAAATAAGATATTCCAATTAAAATTAGTCAACGGTAAAATTCACTTATGATAATGGCATAATGCAATCCTCTGTGCCTTCAATACAGATCCCAGCTAAGTA